CCAGATGCCACAGTGAAGATTGAAGATCCCACATGCTACAACTAAGACCTGGCATACCTGCCCCCTCTCCCCCCCCCAACAAACTGTAAACCCAAAGCACAAAGCTCACAATGTTTTTTTGATCTTGGCCAGAATCTGGAGACACTGACTCTGATGTACATAAGCCTTGTAGTGATTAAAGAGATATACTCTTTTGGAGGAAACAGAGAATTTGCTCCTCTAAAACTTGAATGAGGAAAGATTAGCCCATCTTCAACTGTAGTTTGATTTAGTTCTCAACAGGGAAACTTCTGATTAATAATTAGACCCTCTGACTCACCTTTGCTATCTCCTCCCTATTACAAAATAATAAGCGATATTCTGGTTTATACACCTGCTTTCTATGAGTTTGGTTAACATGAGATGGTTCCACAAATCTGATCTATTGACAAAAGTGAGTTTCAAACTGAGAAAATTTGAGGACCAGACTTCAGATATAGTGACCCCCCCCAACATATTGTCAACCTGTGACCAGACAGACAACTCCTCCCTAGAGCTCATTTAGCTACCCTTCCCCTCAATCCACAACACACCTAATCTAGGGACATGTTCTACAGTATCCCTGAATCATGTTCTCTTTGGACATCCCCAGTGGCCAGGACCTCATTGTTACAACCCTTGAAAGCAGCCCTTTCTTGGAGATCTCAGTTGTTAGAATAGTCTTTCTTAAACTGAAATTAAACCTGTCACTTCATAACTTCTACCTACTAGTTCTTTCCCAAAATATAAAAAATGTTTTCGTGAACCTGCCTATCCTCAGTTCTTCCCAAAGAACTTGACCATGATGGAGTCCAACCCTCTTAGCACCCTACTGTTTTCCTTCTAGCTGTCCAGTGTCTTTCTTGAAAACATGATATCCACCCAGCCCTGCACCAGTGAATCTGACAGATTCATTAGCACTATTATTTTTGAGACATAAGATATTAATGCAGCAAAACTTTTTAAGCAGCTGCATCTCACTGTTGGCTCATGTGCTTACGATAAAAATGCCTTCATCTCAACGTACTTCCCCTTCCTCTTGAATGTGAAGCTGTTGAAATGAGATACACATCGGGAAAGTTGTGGGTTTACTACGGTGAGCTTACTTCCCTCTTTGGTGAATGCTATTTCAGTTCAATCTGAGGGATAGGGTTCTTAGCTCAGGATGAATTTACAGAGCCATTCAAGAATTCAGACCCAATGGGACTTCCCTGGTGGTCCAGTGGCTAGGACTCAGAGCTCCCAATACAGGGGGCCCAGGTTCCATCCCTGGTCAGGGAACTAGATCCCACATGCCTCAACTAAAAGAGAACCTGCATGTCACAACAAAGATCAAAAGATCCTGTATGCTGCGACTAGATTCAGTGTAGCTAAATAAATATTAAAAAAAAAAAAAAAAAGAATTCACATCCAAGTAGTGAATGAGTTTTTCTTAGAAAGAAAAAAACACAAAACCCACCTTTCTTGAGGAGGTGAGCCATCATCAGAGAGCTGGGGAAGATTTCTCACTGTCCCTGGTGGCTGAGAGTTAAAAGAGTCCACCTGCAATGCAGGAGACACGGATTCGAGATGCGGGTTCCATCCCTGGGTTGGGAACACCCCCTGGAGAAGGAAACGGCAACCCACTCCAGTATTCTTGCCTGGGAAATCCCATGGACACAGTAGCGTGGTGGGCTATAGTCCATGGGGTCGCAAGAGTCAGGCACGGCTTAGTGACTAAACCACCACCACCATCCTCTAGCACCTGGTGGCTGAAAGACTTGATTAATCTAGCCAACTAGATACCAATTTCAATTAGGGGAAGGAGGAGAGAGAGAGAAGAAAAGCTATTAATATTTTATGAGGGCATTTGGGCCTTTCTGATTCTGGAATATAAACATTACACATATAGTGTAATCAAACCTAGGATGTAGTGACTTAGTTCATCTCAGAATCGATGACACATTCTGGGATGAATTCTCTGTCACCTGGAATCTCCTCCCTCCCACAAGCCCAAACTGTCTTAGGCTCTAATTTGCCTACTTGTTGTTGGCTTAATCTAGAAAAATCTCCTTATCACTCATTCTCCCACACCCAGTCCCTCAGCCCCTCAACACCCTTCTCTCCACTTGCCACCCTACTTGGCTCCTCCACCCAGCCCCAGCCCGCAAGCCCACAAGGGTTTAAAGTGTCGGATTTGATGTTCTCATTACCCGCAGATCGCAGGACAGACGTTCCCAGGGACAACTTTGAGAGGCCACGTGCTCTTCCCCCTTAGGAGGTGGGAGAAATCCTTGCAGCTCGGTTTTGTTCCAATGGTCTGTTCAGTGAGTGATTCCCGTTTCCCCAAAGGCTGCCCCTCATTAGCATGAACGGGGGTGGGGGTGTGGAGAAGGGGTGGGGGGAGAGAAAGAGCAAAAGCCCAGGCTCAGTTTTAGAGCCTGGGAACCGTGTCTACAAACATGACAGCTAGAGCTTTCTGGCTCCTCTGTTTGATCGTTGGATCTTCTCCCGAAGCCCCAGTGGCGGAGAGAAAAGGTAAGATCGATGAGACGCTGAGCCCTGGGAGAGGGGCTGGAATCCGGGGGCGAGGTGCGGAGGGGGCGCGATGAAGGGAGTGACGAGAAAGGGGTCAGGGCTGACCAGAGAGGAGACTCCAGGTCCGTGTTCGTGTTTGAAAGGAGCAAAATGTGTCCCCAAGATTGTGTGTGTCTTGGCAGCCTTTTCGGAATGAAGCCAGTTGTTCAGCTACTGAAATGATCTCGAGCGAGCCTGGCAGGCTGGAGAAAACTTTGCATGTTAAGTAGTTGCTCCATCACAGAGGAGGGAAAGTGTCAAAAGGGGTCGTGGCGCGCCTTTCGGAAGCCTTGCGGGCTGGGCTCGCGGGACGCGGCGGGCGGCGGGCGCCCCAGGAGCTCGGGGTCCGCCCTGCGCCCAGGTCCGCGTCCCGCCGGCGATCTCAGGCGCTGGGTGCGCCCCGCCGCGGCTGGGGGCGGAGGGAACCGAAATTGGACCTCTCTTCTCTCTCCCTGCAGCCCCAACCAATTGCCTTGGGACACCTGAGTCTTTAAAACACACAAAACATATTCACAGTTGCATGCATGAGATGGAAAATACTGAGAGAATGAAGAAACGAGGTTTTCTGCGGAGAGGTGTTTTTGTTTGGCTTTTATGTAGATGTTCTGTTCGATTCACTATCTCCGGGAAAAATAGCTTCCGCACCTCGCAGGGCAATTTACTTTGGGTTATTTTTCCACATGGAAATTGAATGACTTCAGTGGCATTTAACCCAAATATCAGACAATCTTTCCCATGACAACAGATGGTGATATCAATGGGGAAGCAGTTGTGAGGTCAACAGTTGACAGTCAGGAATTGGATATCCACCAGAACTTTATTCAGCTGTGTATGGGCAACGCTGAACATAATGAGTCAGAATAAACCTCTCTGCAAAAACATGAACTATAACCGGCGATTATTCCTGGCTGAAAGCTGATTTTAAAGGAGATTGTCAATTTGGCAAGATAAATCACTTGAAGTGAAGATTGTCAATTTGGCAAGATAAATCACTTTAAATGAAGTGTTGCAAGAACTGCAAAGGGGGCAGACCAAGCATTTCAATGCCAGAGGAAAGAAATACTGAAAACCAGCCGTTAAAACAATAGAAAAATAAAGACGGGTTCTTGTGCCCGTCTGGAGGGCACTGGGACCCAGGCAAAAGGGGGAGGTGATATTGTGTAACTGGGCATGGAAAGTTGCCCAGCTTCTAAGCTGGCTGGTTTGCTCACCAACCTGCCTGCAGAGCTGGGGAAAAATCACTAATAATTTCAAAAATTTGTTTTCATGCCACGCCATTTAGGAGCTTTTTCTCTACCACGAAAATGATGCGGGGGGCGGGGGGGAGGGGTGCATGTAAGGGATGTGTGTGCTTTCACACTTAACCGGGGTCTTCTGCCTCCCAGCCACGCTTTAAACATCTTTCTAAGCTGTGGTTTACTAATAAGCGGTGTCCAAGAAGCCAGATAAAAATCCACTCACAAATGCTCGATTCTTCGGAGACCAAGATGACAGTGTAAACATGGATGGGAAAACCAAATAGTTCTGTTGTCAGGGGCGCTTAAACAATTAGGAGAACCTGTAATATGAGACCTTTCCCCCTGGGGTTTGCTCTCGGTACTTTTCTCAACAAACTGTACACAGCAGAAAGGCGGATGTTTATATATATATTAAAGAAAGGGCAAAAAGAGTTTGTTATTTAACCAGAGATGTCAGTTGTGTTTAGTCCTAGAACAAATAGGCTGTTGTAATTTTAAAAGCTATTGACTTAGACAGGGTCCTTAACAAAATGAAATCTTCCCATGTGGTGGGAAAAACGTTCTTAGTTGTCCTCATTCTCACAGGGCGAGACCCTCATCTCGGTCTTCCTGTGAGGCCTAGGAAACCCGTGCTCATCAGAAGCTGGGGCGTCTTTCCTCTCCTAAGCGGGGGCGCCTTCCTCTTCCCCCTCCCGTTCTCTTGGCTTCACTTCCAGACCCCCTCTCGCAGGTGTATGGCTCAGTTAACGGTCCCCCATCTCCTCCCCTCCCCTCCCCTCCGCAGCCTCTTCTCTGCCGGTCTTTCCTCCTCCCTCAGTCTCCCCGGCCTCACCTCGCCTCCCTCCTCTCGGCCTCTCTCCCTTCTTCTCGGCCTCTCCCCTTCCCCCTCCCCTTCCCTCCCCTCTCAGTCTCCCCTTTCCCCCCTCCTCTCGACCAGCCCCCTCCTCAGCCCTCTCGTCTCAGCCTCCCCGGCCTCTCCTCCTCTAATGGCCTCCCCAGACTCTCCTCTTCTCTCCCTACAGCCTCGCCGCCCCACAGCCGGAAACCCGACCCCGGCGGAGGCCCGAGTGCGGAGATGCCTGGGCCCGGGGCGCAGCCGGTCCCCGAGACCCCGCGGCGGCCGCGCGCGGCCGAAGCCGCTCCTCGTGCCTGGTCAGACCTGAGGCGCCGGAAGCCCCCGCCGCCCGCGGAGAACAACTGTGCGCGCGCCTGCAGGGCGGACTTGGACGAGCGCGAGTCCTACTGCACCAGCGAGTTCGGTGAGTCCCGCCCGCGGCTCCTCCCGGGCCCGGGCGACCGAGCCCAGGCCGCGGGGCGAGCCTTTCCGAGCCGAGAGCGCCGGGCTGTGCCTCTAAAACAAACCCTAGAGAAACCCACCCACTCGGTTTTGCAAGCCCCAGAGCTGTGTGGACCATTTCGTGACTTGTAAGAAACGCAGTGGGGGGGAGAAGAGGATGTGAGCGCTATGCATTTCTCCAAACTCTTTGTTTTTTGAAAGCAGCATTGAACGGAATCGTGCATGATGTAGACGTCCTCGGCACAGGGATCCGGCTGGTGACTCTCCTGGTGGACCGAGACGGGCTGTACAAGATGAACCGCCTGTACATCACTCCAGACGGGTTTTTCTTCCGAGTCCACATACTAGCCCTAGACTCCTCTAGTTGCAATAAGCCATGTCCAGAATTTAAGCCAGGTATTGAAACTGACCGAAGGGACCATTTTGAATATGCACTTTATGCCACATTGTAACTTGTATATGCCACAGCTCGGTCCCTATCGGTCACCTCAGTACCATTTTTTTGGGGGGTGGGGAGGGTATTCTAAAATGAATAGACTTTATACAAGTATCACTTCGGCCACTCTGATTTAAATTCCATCAGCGAACACCCGCTCCCGGCTCCTCTGGTTAAGGATGGGAACTGTGCGCGCTGGCACAAAGCAAGTCACCGTTTGTTGACAAGTGGAGTGAAGGACCGAACACAGTTGCCAGAAGGGATGCCTAAAGGGCTGTTTAAACTGAGTTTATAGTCGTCTTTGCCGGGGCGGGGGGCGAGTAATGCCCACTCCTACGTCTTTCTAGAAATGTGCTCTGTAAAATCCTGCTGGTAGTGTTGTGATTAGAACCTTTGTTCCTAGTGTTGGCTATTAACAGCCTGAGAATCTGATTGTAAAGGTCACTCAGCTGTTTCCACCTGTTGTCTGAGGTCTGAATGTCTTGAGATTCAGCAAGTGCAGCAAGATCATAGATTCAAGCTATAGGCATGTCTTAAAGGTGTGACGTTTTCTTATTGTTACATGGCACTTGAAAGATAACTATACCTTTATATTTTGGCTTTTTTTTTCTTCAGGCAGCAGGTATATTGTGATGGGCCACATCTACCATAAGAGAAGGCAGCTTCCTACAGCTCTGCTTCAGATCCTGAGAGGGCGCCTTCGCCCAGGAGATGGACTACTCAGGAGCAGCAGCAGCTACGTGAAAAGATTTAACCGAAAAAGGGATGGGCAAGTGCAAGGGGCAATTCACGCCCAGTGCATCTGAAACACACAAGCTGGGCATTTCTGGATCTGAAACTTAAATTCTGCAACGAGACAGGAAAGGCCTTATCATCATATAATGGGATTTTCCTTTAGAAAGGGCACACAGTCCCTTTAGGAACTATTTAAGTCCCAACTCTCATCTTGAAGTCACTGTCTTATTTACAAAAGGCTTCTTAAATGGTTATGCTTCTGAGCTCCATGGCGGGGTTATTCAACTGGTGTGCCAGTTCTTCACACAAGCTCAGCTAACTGACCTGTCTAGTTAACAGATCACTGCTTCATGTTGTTTATTTTTAATTATTTTAATTTAAATACATTTTTCAGTAGAAATAGTTCACAAAAACATTTGCTTGATCTTAAATATACAATTCCAAGTAGTTTATATCATGTATCAAACCAGATTTTATACTAAAACCATCACATTTTAAATTCTGTACATAACAGTAAGTGCACTAGTCAGACGTATGAAATGTCATTTAGATCACATTTAGATCAAACACTATATTGGAGCCCATTACAAGTATTGAAGTTTTCCACTTAAGAGTACCGAAGGTCTTATTTCAAGCAAACAGGTCTTCCTGATGTACCAAAATACAAGATACAGTTTATTTTCACGCCTCCCAGGTTCTAAAATCCTATGTTTTGTGCCATACTGGCAGCTCTCCCAATGCCAAACAAATTCTGGGTGTATCTGATGTCATTTTTCTATTAAGACCAAGTATCATGTTTGTGTTTGTAAAGCAGTAAATCTTGCTGTGAAATCAGATCTTGGATGCACCTGGTTTTTTTAGCCTCACTGAGCCCCAGAAGGTTTGGGAAAAAAGCATTTCTCAAACTCACTCCCCAAACCCTGGAACCAGTATTGAACTGCAAGCATATGAATCTTAAACGTTTTCCAGCTAGCTTGAAAAATATTTAATCACGAACTGAATTTATTATTGATTTTATATTGATTTTATAGATTTTATATCTGAGCCCACAAAGATATTAACAGTGTCTTTTTTCCCCCCAGAAGACCAAGCTGTGCTTTAGTTAATTTGAAACTCTGAATAGACACTGATAATTCTTGGTTGAAGATGACTGCCTAAAGAAAAATAAAGAACTGCACTGACGAGAAAAACAGCACATTTGGTCTCAAAGGAGATGAGCTGGAGTTCAAGCTGTGTCGGTCTGTAATGGCCTCAAAGAAGCATCATATACACACACGATGTCAGGACAGCACAGTGACTTCACAGCCTAAAGCATATCTGCCTGTGATGAGATACTGTTACCTTATTTGTCCCAAGGAGGCAAAAAGTTGAGAGGCTCTGACTATTCTGTGGTAAAGCATTAACTGAAGGATTTTTAGAGAGTTTGCTGAGAATGAGTTTTGCTTAAGCTTATTAAAAATTATCCTAGAATTGCCTCTTAGGAATCCACTGCATTATTAAATGAGCCATTGACAGATTTATAGAGTATGCAATGAAGGAAGAGCTTCTGGATTAGTTTTCTTTAGGACAGAAATTAACTAAGACAGAAGTAGCACAGGTCACAAAAAGCAAAGCTAAACTTGTAAATGTCAAATGGCTAAGTGGTGATCCTGAGTAACATGGTGGGGAAGATTACAATGTGACCAAATAAATGATTAGTTGGATGGTCAGATGTTAAAGAGTATAAAGGGAAGTGTTATAAATAGCTCTGGTTTAAAAGAGAGGGGGGAAAAATCACTTTTATTTAAGACTGAGAGGGTCTGATTAGATTGATAATAGTTTCTGAGAAGTTTTGCAATCACACACACAAGTCCCTTAGAGGTCACATGGTTAATGTGGCCAACAAAAGCATGTCAACTTTTTAGAAACTGCCTTGTTAAAACTAAGGCCATCATTCAAGACCAAGTTTGCAGTGAAAGATGAGTGAGGCTCAGGTGGGGTCGAAAAGTGGTATGTGTGGGGATATGGATGGGAGGCAGTGAAGAACAGAGTGGTAATTCCAGGTTAGGCAAAACAGTTTACAAAGAATCTCAATATTAGTACTTTGGACACAATCTTTGAATTTTACTTGCAAATCTACTGTAGTTCCGAATCCTTCTGTCCCACTGATAAGATTTTTCTTAGTACATGGGTTTTGTGCTCCAGAGACTAAAGGATCTTGGGCACAATATTCTGTTGCCTTCAAGAGGAACTCAATACACTCCTCCTCTGATTAAGCTGTTGGAGCTCAAGCAGAAAAAAACTGTTTTTCTTTTGGTAGGGAAAAGGTCCATAAAACATACACACTTTTATACTAGTTTTTAACTCTTAAAGACATCACTTGGCACTGTTTTTCTCAAAATAATTTTTAAGGTTCATCAAACACAGGTATTTGCAAACACCTAAAAACTGACTTGGCCCTTCCAGGTGGCTCAGTGGTAAAGAATCCACCTGCCAAGCAGACATGGGTTCAATCCCTGGGTTGGGAACATTCCCTGGAAAAGGAAATGGCAACTCCTCCTAGGATCTTGCCTAAGATATCCCATGGACAGAGGAGCCTGGGCAGGCATGGGGTCCATGGGGTTGCAAAGAGGTGGATATGACTTAGTGACTCAACCACCACTACCGAAAACTGACCCACTATCTACAACGGGTAACTTCAATTTCAGGTGGACTTTATCATTTCAAATATATAGCACTTATTTCTTTAGTTGAATCTGGTCCAAATTGGATCAAGTTGGGTGTGATCTTCTAGAAATGTCTTTTGTGGTATCTTATTCCAAGTATCCAGAAGTACTTTGTATTTCAATTCACTAAAAACCTTTCCCCGAGTACTTGTAAGACATTACGTTGTTCCTGAGGCCACCGTTTTCATTTTAAGGACAAACTCTGACACTTATGGGTAATGGCCTCAGTCATGAGGCTGTGTGTGTAGATTTAAGAGGTCACCACGCTGCTTTGGTATCAGAAACACAAAGATGTAGGGAGTTTGCCTAACAAAGGAAGAGAAACAGGGAAAGAACTTTTTATTTGCAGACTCCAGGAAGGTAGATTACAAACAACAGCAAATCTCAGCTTCTCTTTAATAACACTCCAGGCCACTTGAAATATAAAAAAGTAATTGTTTTACTTTAGAAAATATCTCTGAAAGTTCACTTTTTTTGGAACTACCGCAGGACATTAACTAAAATACAAATCCTGCAGAGTTTGGGTAGGAGGAAAAAAACCTTACCAATATTACGAAAATACTTTTTATGAGATGGTTTCAAGGATTGTGAACTTGGCAGATGAAATATAACAAGCAATGAAAATACTTCTAGCCAAGGAAATCTGTTGATGCAACGTAAACATATATCTATACACACACACACACACACACACACACACACACACAAGTCCAAAGGCTGGGTAGAAAAACCCTAACAGTATAACAAATGTGCATTCTAGTACTTGGATAATTGAAAGCAAAATAGTTGTATTATGTATACTTTATTGAGTAGCAGAAGCTTATCAAATACTCATAGAAAAGCAGCTTTTGAAACTCATTATGTGTATATAAGAAGGCGTGTTTTCCCAAAAATTACTTTTCAAAGACTAAAGCTCTGTAGTTGATAAAACTATAAAATGTCTATGTATTTATATGGTGATAGAAATCACAAGAGGCTTTATACCATTAAATACACTTATGAAATTAACATCTTCCTGGTCCAAGGATTCCCACAAAATGTACCATTGTTATACAATTTGGCAATATCAACATCTACAGAAAATATATTAACCAACCAACCACTGTTTCATTAGAAACTGCACCAAATCCAACGTCAAAAACATTACTTTATTTTTCTAGGATGAAATGTCCTATTACGTACAAAAAGAATTGCTGTTTAAATTTGCCACAATCTGTTAAAAACATAGCAATCTATTGCCTACAGATAGGAAAGTTCTTGACGCAACGTTTTAAGTGATTAAGCCCATATATATCTATATATATGAATAAATAGTACAGAAATACTGTGATGTGATGAGATGCAAAATAATTTCATAATTCATTAAAATGTAGGATTCTTGCATCAGCACAGTGCATACAATATGTAACATTTTTTTTAAAAGCAAAAGGACAAAATTTAACCTATGTTTGACTACCTTCATGTTAATATTTTAAGCAAAAACTTTGTTTCCATGTTTTCAATGTTGAACCATTAGTCTCTTTAGTTTGTAAGTGACATTTTTATGTACAAAAAGGAATGGGCTTCATTAGATAAAATTAACCCAGAATAACTTGTACACCTGAGCCTGTAATAAGAAATAATTTGGAACTGCAGTAACATCTTTCTTTTAAGAAACTAAGGTCTGGGAAGGTTTTGCATAGCAGGGTGATATTAAACAGAGGAAACTTAAAAAACAACAATTAGATAAAATTTCAGAACCTGGTAGGACAAAGCTAATATGAATTAGTGCAAAATCTAGTAAAATTTTTGCAAAGCTGCATAAACCAACTATGGCAGATCTCATAGAAGTGATTATGACAATGTAGAAATACGACGTTTAAGATTAAAACACTGAAAGGAAAAACATGCAAACTACACCTTCCTCTGAGGTTTCCATTTTCCCCTACTGCTTACACTACTTTTTCTTATGTGGGAAAAAACCCCAAACAACTCAACTGACCAACAAATACAGAGAGGATGAAGTCATTAAAAAAAAAATGCCCTTCATAAAATATAAGTAGCAGTCTGTAAAGGGTAATCTGCCTGGTATCATAAAACGTATAGATGAAGGCAACGTGTATTCTGTCACATTATCTTTTAAAAAATCAGTCTGATCAATTGATGCAACAGGATTAGCACCGCTGAATATTTTCTTTGACATGATGACAGTGGGCTGGGAATTGTAAAATTTAGGAGCACTACTGCCCTGGAGAAATCCAGGTACAATCAGATCCTTCTGCCTTTTTATTTTTCTACCTTGCAGCCCTCCCTTTCCCCTCAAAAGCTTACGGAGAATCATTAGCGCACATTCAAAGACACCATCTGTGGGAGAAAAATGATCTCCATTTATTTTGTTTCATATACATCCATAGTTGAATTTTAATACAAAAAGAAAAAAAAATTAGAATCTGACAAATGTTTACAAACAAGATACCTTCAAATAGATTTTACTCATTTTAGCCTGGTGCAGAGTAAATGACAAATTGTTCTGTTATATTCAAGGCAACAGAGTCTGTAATCCAGGACCACTTAGCCCAACCTTTATGCAAGCTTAATTTTTATCTACTATGAACAATAAACTCATTGTTGATTCCCAGTTGTGTGTGTGTGTGTGTGTGTGTGTGTGTGTATGTGTGTGTGCACATGTGTACATAGCAGCTCCTTTCATAGAAAGAAAAGACATCTAGAGGTCGTCTTGTACTTTTACCTACAGGAATCATGATAAGATACAGAATGGATTACATGTAACCGGGGCTGGATTTTATAAGAAAAAATAATTAGCTGACAAATGAGGGCAGCAATAAAAAAGCGTCTTTTTTGCAACAATAAATAAATACAGTTGAAAGTTTTCTGTGAGACTCTAAACCAGCTTCTTCACTGAAGAGCAGACGTGGCATTTCCATGGAGTTACACTTGACCCCATATTATCTTTTTTTTTCTTGCTTTCTTTTTTTTCAATAAACAAAGTTTTCCCGCTTCTGCCACAATAGTAAAACCATTTGATCTTGACAAGATAATGGTGTCGTTGACTTTGCTTTTCCCTTGTCCGTTGGACAAAATTGGCCAAGAATATAATTGGACTGTTATGACCAATAAAAACGAAGTTTAGGTCAAGTCTTGTCAGGATAACCTGACTAAAAACATCTGGCTCCTTAATTTTAAAATAGTTCAGACAACCAGATTCTTGCTGTGTTTTATGTTAGGTTAACACGCTGAACTTTAAGAAGCTGTAGACTGCAGTTTGTTGTTATGAGACCTACAGAATACAGAAAAAAGGGAACAATTAAGCACCCTTCATTTTTTAAAACAATGATGCTTTATGTGGATGCCAAGGTCAGTCTGTCTGGGGAAAGCAGCCATGTTCTTTCATTCACCCTTGGCAAGCAAATATATGAAAACAAATAAATTTTTAACCTATAATATTAAAACTTTTCAAGGAACACTGAACATGATAATTCACTGGAAAAAGCCAATATTTTTTAAAAAGGAATATATATATATAATATATATATTTGTCCAATACAACATTTTTAGCCAAAGGGACAAATAGAAACATTTACAAAAGCATTACCATTGTGGTAAAAGATGTGTATACCTATGTATGCGTGTGCTTATTTACATTGAATTGGGAAGTATGAAGGAAAGTAATACTAAAAGGAGAGAAATAACAGTATTAAAATCACAGTTTTTTCTATTAAAGTTCAGAAAGTCTCCTTTCTAGTTTCACAGTTTTATTAACAACTTTTGTTAGTAAACCAAATTACTGTACAGTTATCAAGTATGTACTATTGCAATAGTGTATATAAATACAGTCTTCCAGGAGTTTACAATTCTTAAATACATTGTTCAACATGGCTGCTAGAATAAACTGTTTACGACTATACATCTTTTTTTAAAAACATTAAAAAATTATATTAACGAATCTGAACTCTGGGGGGCAATTTTGAATTAGGTAATCACGTGGTACAATAAAAGAAAGAGTGACCCCAACATCCAGTTCTGATTCCAGTTAAAAATTCAGACTAAAGATATCACAATCTGTAAGAAAAGAAAGAACATGGATGATAAAAATGATGAATTGTAACAAATAACAGTTATGAAAATAATGCTGGAGATTGCAAATTAAAAATGAGGAAAATATGGCAAAGGAGACACTGGAAATCCATAAACAAATAAAATTTCAAAGACTGGCTACATATATGTTTCATTCTGCCCTAAACTCAACAAAAGTTCCCTAATATCACTTTACATTTTTTTTTTTAACATAAGCAAGACTTGTTGGCTTCTGTGTTCTTCAATAAAAATCATATAAGCTAGAATCTAATTAAATAGCTATAGAAAGTACTCAGCGGGGAAGCTCTCCTGAGTGGACCCAGTCTTTGGGTCTCTGCTTCTTCCCCCAATTCTCCACTATTGCAGCAGGCCCACCTCATCAGCAGCTGCTGCCACCCCTACTCGGCTGGGATTCAAATCCCCCAGCTTCCATCAAAGGCTAAGCTAAAGTCTTTTCAATTAAAAAAAAAAAAGCAGTTTCAGAAATTCAGTTGGGAGTATAAACTATATAAGGCAGGAAGCACAAAGCAGAGAGGGCTTACAGTTAGTTTCACCCTGAAGTCTGGGCTGCCTGAGGAGAATTCCTTGGAACTTTCAGTTCTTGGGTAGGGAGATTTCTTACACTGGTATTTCTTACTTTATCAACTTCATATTGTTTAAATTCTGAGATGGCAAATGAGAACTGGGCTTGTGTAACCATTTTCCCTTCTCCGTTCTTGAGTACAAGTTTTATTTCTCAGTAATTTAAATCTTTCCACGCTTTGTCTGCAGACTGATTATAAAAGTTGAAAATCAATGTGCCATTTACATTATTGTGACTATATAAATATTTTTCTCTGTAGCACCTACTTTCCCTAAGAGGGCATTCTTAGTAACCTATAAAACTTCTCTCCTTTCATGGAGTTTCTGATTGCCTTTCATTCCCCCCCCCAACATTTTTAAGTTATCTAATGTATGAATCATTTTTTCCTTCCAGACACATCCCTCCTGGGAGTGCTCCATTCTCCTGCTTCAGTCTGCAGTGCCAGCTGCACGGGTCTGCTGGACAAATGTCACTCGGGGTCAGAGTCATTCTCTTAGCTTTCTTGAAATCCAAGGTCTTTTGTTTTTTTGGTTTGCTGCTTTTGCTTTTTTTTGTTAATGCATATCTTAAAATAACTTGCTAAGAAAAGATGCAAGGGAAAGAAGTTCTTTCTGAGTCCTTATATGACCTGAAAACATACTTATTCCACCTCTACGTGCGACTGTGGCTGGACACAGATTTCATTTTTCCTCAAACTTTTTAATTATATTCTTCCATTACTCTCTAGCGTTCTGTGTTGTTAGAGAAAAGTCTGATACCAGTCTAATTCCTATTACTTTACAGGAATTTTAACCTCTTTAGAAGCTTTCAGAAGAGCTTCTTCTATCCCTGGCATCTGGAAGTTTCAGTTATGGATACGTGGAATGGACCTTGTCCCACTTGTCCGGCTGGCTTACACGTTTACCAACCATTCTCATCCCTCCACAGCCCCCGCCCGGCTTCGCCTCCCTGTGCCACAGAACGGGAGCGCCATGGCAAGTGGGAATGTAGCTGCTCTATTCAGTATCTGATGCACAGCAGCGGCTCAACAAGCATTTGCTGAACGAACAGTTTCGCTCAGATACAACGTTGTGTGCCTCTCACCAGCTCAGGAAATTCTTCTTAGTAGTCATCTGATAATTTCCTCTGTCTTCTCTGCTCTTTCTTTCTGAAATTTCCATTAAGTGACTACTGGATACTCCATAACAATTTTTTTCTTTCATGTTTTTTCACCTCCTTGTCTTTCTGTTCTTTACATTGAGAGTGCCCTGATTCAATGTGAGCAATAGGTTTGTAAAATTTCTAGTTAGTCTTCATTTCTAATATCCTGTTCACCATTTTATATATGCGGTATCTTCTGAAATTTCTCTCGGGACACGATTTAGAGGCTTGCTTTGCTTTTTAAGGTTCTCCTCTGACTTCTCAGGGATCTTCTGTTGTTGCTGTTACACCCTGACCTTTCACCTTTGCACTGCAGGCTTTCCTTATGTATCTGGCCATCCCTGACTGTTCCCGCTTAAGAGTAAGTTCACAAACTTGATGGGTGCCTGGAGAACCTTGTGCATGTGCATGCAGCTTACTGACTGGCGGGCTTTGCTTTAGATCAGAGCTTTCAATCGCAACACCACTGACATCCTGAACTGGGCACTTCTTTGCTGTAAAGGCTGCAATGTCCGATGCAACTGTGGGACGTTCAGCAGCATCTCCAGCCTCTACCTATTAGATGCCAGCACCACTTACCAGCTCCAAGTGTGACAAACAGCAGTGTCTCCTGGTATTGCTAACTATCCCTTGTAGGGTGAGGGTGAGCGAATTACCCTGTTGAGAGCCCCAGTGTTAGAATAACGGGAGCCGATCCTTCAGGGATCAGGGGATTTTACTCTGGGTCCCATTCTCTTCCGTCTGCGCTCTCTGCTGATGGTTTATTCTGTTTCTTTGTGGAGAAAAGCCCAGTGTTCTTCCAGTTCTTCAGGCCTCCTGCAAGATCTGCACACAGGGTCAGTGAGGGTGCCAAGCCTGGATGCAGATCCTCAGTTAACCCTCCTCTCTTCCCACTCTCTCGCCTTGGATCCCATCTCAGACTCTGGTGTTGAAGGCTGCCTGGTGTCCCGCCAGTCAGCAGGCTGTCATGGCTGCTGAGGAGCCTGGCTACGGCAGGCTGCCGTCTGTTCTATTTCATGATTTGCTGAAACCTCATCAGCTGACTGACTTCTACCATATTCTTTTCATCATTCTGAATTTATCTCTTTTTCTCCCTTTATTATTATTTTCCTGGGGACTCTGTCATATTCAGTAAGTCCTCTTTCACTTTGAGTTTTCCAGCTAATGGGTTAATAGACCGGCAACAATAAAAACGGGAAGGTTTTAGATATTCTGTAGCTCTCTTGGTTTGTGGTTCACAGAGCCTCCCTACTTGTTTTCTGTCCTGCCTTGCCTATAGTTTGTGAGTCTTTTGTTGAGGTGACTGGGTTGGGCCTATCCTTCCCTTTAAATAGACTGGCTCTACAGTACAGGTCTCAATCTACCTTGTTACAGGAGAAGGAGAGAAACAAAACACCCTGAAGACTCTCCTAAGAGAAAAATGACTAGAGATCCTTACACTTTGGTAAGCAGAGTTCCTTGGGAGTTCAGTAGATAATACAGGTGCCCAGTCCAGCCGAGAGTTAGCCAGGGAAGGTAGATCCTCCGACTACTTAGGAAGATCAAACCAGTGGGCTGGTGGATGGGAGATAGTGAACAATGAATCCCAGGACTAGACTGGTGGCCACTCTCAAAGAAAAGGAAAATGGGCCTCTGTTGGGAAGAAGAAAGTCACGGGCTTGGGAAGGGGCAGGCACTAAAGGTCAGAAACAGAAGGTGTGAGGTCATAGGACCTGAACACCATACAAAGCTGTTCAATGCTTTTAATATGCTACTACAGATTCAAAGGGGTTTTCCTGGTGGCTCAGCTCGTAAAGAAGGACCTGCAATGTGGGAGACCTGGGGTTGATCTCTGGGGTGGGAAGACCCCCTGGAGAACGGAACGGCTACCCACTCCAGTATTCTGGTCTGGAGAACTCCATGGACTGTATAATCCATGGGGTTGCAAAGAGTCGGACATGACTGAGCAACTTTCACAGATTCGAAGAAAAAGTCTGTGGAATTGGATTAAAGTCTAGTTTTGCCCAAGGGAAAAAAACCCAGAAAAATAAAATAATTTATGATTTCAAAGACATCACAAATATAAATTAATGAGATGCGCTAAGATCCCCTCTTTATGGTCTTCCCCTTACTCTATCCTACAGAACAGTTATTTTTATATTTCTGTAAACTCAGTGAGAGCAAGAACTCTTACTATCTTTGTATGTGCCCCGTGGCATTTAAGACATCTTACATTCTTTAAGCATTTGATAAATGTTTTTTGAATTTTAGAAAGTGCCTCTAATTTTAAGCAGATCATACACAAATCTAGCCACTTCTCATTAGGAGTTGAATTGATTCAGAGCACTGAACACCTCTGCTTACCTGCTAGCCTTGAATCCTTTCAATTTCTGTACAAAGAATGATTCAAGAACCTCTGCACACTGGTAAAAAGGGGAGTCACTTGGATTGTAGTAACGACAATTATCAAAAATTTTGGTCATATCTGCTACAAATTCCGTCAGCTTCTCATAATATCTTCTTTGTACTCTTTCTTCCATGGTGGCAAGGTCTTAAAAACACAAAATGTAAAAGACTTTCAAAACCTTAAGGTCATTTCAATGTGAATACTGCCTGCAGTTCTGACAAACAACACTAGGATTGATAGATAAACACAATTTCAAAACTGAATCTCAATAATTATTTTAGAATTGAGAAAATAATTTTGAAGTTCATTCAAAAAATAAGAGTTCAAGAGTATCTAAGAAACATTTGAACAATAAAAGTAATGGGAGATGATGTAATCTGTGAGAATTAAAAAAATCATAAAACTGTGATAATGAAAAGTGTGGCACTGTCCAAGATGATACAAACATTAATGGAACTGAATTCAAAACAGGAACTGACTATATTCAGCATATGAATTTCACATATGTTGAAGATGTCATTTCAAGTAAATAGAGAAAGGAAGAATTCATTAATAAACTGGGTTGGGGCAACTGCCTACCTATATTTGAAGAAAAATTCTATCTCACACTATATGCCAAAGTAATTCTAGGTGGATTAAAATTTAAAGACAAAAATGAATGTAGTCAATCACTGAACCATGCATATAAAAGCAATTAAAATGGCAAGTTTATGTTATACATATATTTTAATATGTACACATACACATCTTTGATAGTGCCAGTGTATGCAGGTAAGGGAAAAAGTATAAACAGGAACGACTATAAAAAAGGACCCAGTCTGATAAAATTCCAAACAAGATTTGGGCACATCCATTTTGTGCAGGTTATGTAAGCTGCACAGGAAGAGTGAATGCTAACACAGTCCACCAGGACAGCACCACATTCAGACTTTTTTAAACTTCTAGGCAATCACTGACTGAGTGACTGTATCAAAGTATGTGAGTAGGGTTTGGACATTTTATGATTTCAAATTAATTTGATATTCCTTTAAAAAAAAGTATTGGGAGAATATATAGGGAAGTCTTTATATATCTGGGGTAGGGAAAAAGGCTGAAAATACAACTCTCAAAGTAGAATTCATAATGATTAATAGATTTGAATTAAAAAATGTTAACTATGACCAAAAATTACCATAAAACTTTAAATATCCTTAGAATATAATACCCCTTAAGTAACACTGACAAGAGTATGAATATCTCAAGAACAAAATGGCAAACTATATAAATAGGAAGCTCACAGAGAAAAAGTTCAAACAATAAGAACATCACTAGTTACTGAAGACAGGCAAAAACAGAGTTCTTCTTTCGTCCAAATTTTAGCAGAAACTAAATTAAATTAAAAATTATAATATCAGACCAATAACACAGGCTACCTTTAAAGGAGGATGAGAGTGGTGGTAAATTTTACATTTTACTCCCTACATTTCCATAACATCTGTGTTTGCACCTCAAACCTATCATTTTGAAATAAATATATGCAAAGAAAAAATCTTCTCAAAAGAGTCATAATGCTCAGTGTCTTCAGGGGTGCAGAGAAAAGGGTACAGATATATGCCATCAGTGGAAAATGGTTCAATCTGCTGAAGCCTAATTTGAAAATACTTATCAGAAGCCTAAAAGTATACATATCCTCTGACAGAGAAATTCTGATTCTAGAAATTTTTACTAAGAAAACAAACAAGAACAGCGTAGATGCACAAAGATGTTTTACAGAAGTGTCATTTATAGTAACAAAAATTGTATATAACCCCCAAAAAAATCTATTTTGGGGGAGGTGATTAAATAAATTATCTTAACTTCATAAAATTAAAAACAATCTGGATCTATACCATGGCTGATGTGACAAAGCTACTGACTGACAAGTTTACAAAATATGTTATAAAACATGATGATCCATATATGTAACTCCATTTAAGAAAATAAAAGCTCCTGACCTTGTTGGCTCCTTCATACCCCTAGAAGAAACTATTTTCAAATTAGTCAATGTTTGTCCAGACATTTTCTATGCACCTTTTTTTTTTTTTAATGGACAAGTTTTTTTTTTTTTTAATGGACATTTTTTTTTTTTTAATGGACAAGTTATTTTTCTATGCACCTTTAAACACATGTACATATCCTGAGAAAACTACACTTGCTTAGAGCTTAAAACCTAGTGATTACTCTGTTAACTTTCATATTTCTTTCAACAGTATATTTGGGAGACCTGTATTATCTTTATGTACATACCGACATAAAATGCTGTTTATCTGGCTGGCATTAAAAAAAAAGGAAAACAGTCTAGCTCTTCAAGAAAAGAACTGTGGTTAAATAAGTTAAGGCATAATCAATTTACAGACTATATAGAGCCATTAAAATTGTTACTGAAGATTAATGACAGGAAGATGAATGCCAGACACATTTACTACCTGGTCTCAAATTCCCCCCCTTTTTTAATATATATGATTTCAATCACACACACACACACACACACACACACACACACGACATACCAAAATGTAACAGCATTCAGGGGGGAATAGGTTTAAAGTGCACGCATCTAAAAGGCTTAGCTACTCTTGGAATATTTTCATCAGCTAGAATGAATCTTTTGGCAGTTCTAACTTCTGTAGCTTCTTCTGCAGATAAACTATTTTTAATATAATCATCACCTGTAGCTGTTCATCTTAATACAGTCACTTGCAGCTGTTCCTTATTACTATTTTCATTTTATGGGCAAAGAAGCCGTATTTTCTTGGATTTCTACCTTTGCTCTCCTTTAGGAAAAGATGAGGAAGAGGGGATAGGAAAGATGAAAGGTTCAAAAATACCTCAATCTATTCACAGATTTCACTCCTTATACAGCTACAGATTATTATGTTCATCCTTGGACTTGGCTACTCCTCTCCTGACAGTCATTTATGGCATTTTCAGTATTTTTGCAATTATAAACACTGCTGGGATGAACAACATGTGTGCACATATAAACCCTAAGGGATGAAGCTGGGTCCAAAGGTATATATCCTTGAACTATAACATGCACTCTCTATTTATCCTACCACTGACTATACCAGTTTAGACTCCCACCAGTCCTGCTCAACACAGCCTCATGATGTATCAGTTGCATGGATGAAAAGCGAAATAGCTGCTTAGACTTCTGAGAAAACTTGAAGTTCTACTCAGGACTTACCCATAGGTTCCTTAATAACACCATAATAATCTGGTGCATCGTTAGGATCCACTGGTTCAAGGAAAGGCCAGGCCATCTTATGGGCCTATATTGATGAGAAAAAAGGCATCATTACCGTTAGGTAAAAGAAAAATTTCATCTAAGCTTCCCATCTGAGTTACTGCATCAGTCAGCCTTGGACAGTCGGCTTTCAACTTGATGGATGAAATTATTTATACTTGGGACGATTTTTGCTCGTTACAAATGATCTCAGACGAACATGCTCTGTAATAATGGTGCTCAGAGGCCTGGGACCTTGCCCTGAGAGGGGATGGTGGAACACTAGCTTAGAAGTCAAGGAATCTGTCCTCTGGTCCCTACATGATGACCTGCCAACTTAAGTGATGCTGCCACTGCAATCACATCTAGTAAACTGGAGTGGGAGGGGTTCCAAGTGGGGAATGGTTCCCTCTGCAGGCAAAGGATGTGGCAGAGAGATGAAGTTAAATAAGATGCAACCACATGATGAGACTACTGTTCTTGCTTCGGTTCTTTCAATGTTTCTGATTATGATGACAACAGGAGACAGTGTTGATCGAGCACTATGTCTGGAATACATCTCTAATACTTGCCAATCTTATAAGGCACTCCATCTCCTTTTTATTTTTAATAAGGGAGGGAAGGCTTTGCCTCAAAGCCTTAGATAAGCATTTGTATCTCACCAGAATTTAATCAAATTGCTTTTCAATTGATGGTATTAACAGTAAGGTAGTTTTTTTAAAAAATAAAATGTAGGCTAAAAAAAAAATCAGTCATTTTAAACATGAGCATTAGCTAAACAACAGCTGAGCTAATGTGTGGATCTGGTAAACCTCATGACAGTGGCATGTGGAGGACTGAGTTCTGTGGAGCACTTCAGCTGGGAGTCGGTAAATAATGAGGTCCTTGAAGATTGGAAAGGTCAAAGCCCAGAAGTGTTTCCTAGGTCATACTGGTTGACTTCATCTTTAAATGCTGCACAGAGAGTAGCTTCTCACCTGTAAAGATCGCAGCACCCTCTTCAGACCCTCGTAATCTTTCTCTGTGAGCGGCGTGAGCACTGTCATGGCATCCTCTGTTGACTGGCACTGTGGACAGACATACTCGTCAATGAGCTCTGCCTCACTTTGCAAGATGCCAACGCAGCGCCCATGGTACCAATTCTGACACCGATCACAGCCAATATAAAATCTGCAAGATCCGAAATGGAAATGTGAGTTCAAAACAGATGGGATGACATGACTTATAATTTACTTTAAAAAAAAATAAGAAGAAAACATGCATCTGAAAATATTCTAACCCTGGGATATAAAATAGTTTTAGTATTATAATTATTTTAATACTTCTGAAGATTGACATTCCAATGTGTTAATTTAGTATTTCTGATGTTAAGAACAAGCATTAAAGGTTTAAGAACACTGTCAAAATTGGAGAACCAATATGATAAAAGAAAAAAGCAGAACATTTAATTGACTTTAAAGCTCCAAACAAAATAAAGACAAAAATCTTTCAACTAATACCGTATCAAATGGGAAGCTGGTACTGGCCACCCAACTGGGAGTTCAAAATCCTAAAAGCTAATAACAGAGTCTCAGAGCTTATACCCGAATTAGTGTTTTACTAACCTGCAATAAAGCACCATTTCAAAACACTGATAAAAGTCCAAACAAGTCAGGCTATTTTAATCTCATTAATTTCTGCATTACATATTGAAGAATCAAGTCTACCATTAAACCACATATTCCCCAATGCATCTCAAACATTCACTATGAAGCAGCATAAAGTTTGAAGGGGAGGTAAAGAGGAAGAAGAGAAAAAAAAAATTGGAAAGGAATTTGTAATGTAAGTGTATCATATATGCAGAAAAGTATCTTGCTTTTTATTTTAAAATAAAATAAGTAACCAGTCAGAGCAATTTGGCTTCCTAAATTATTAAATATGATGCTCTTATCAGAACTCACTGTGACTCATCATAAGGTGTTCTGCAGATACAGTACAATTCCTCACTGTTGCCCTCTTGTGCCCGTTTACAATCATTACAGATGTACACATCCATTTTCTTAGCCTCCTTTTCTGTGATGCCAACACATTCTCCATGATACCAGTTAGTACAAAGATCACAGCCAATATAGAACCTAAAAGCATTCACAATGAAAATGACAATGTAGTTGTCATTTTGAGCTGCATGGTACGTAAATCTGTCTTCCCTGTCCTGATTCACTTTCTTACAGGGTAACTTTCTGCAATGAGTCAGCTAAACATCCTGAATCCAGCCATTCTAACCCTGACAAACTGCGGCATTTGACGCTGTATCGAGTGTGGAAACATAAAAGTCACTCACATCCATTTCAACAAATATACTGTTGAGTGAAATGTGGGTCTTTAAAAAAAACACACTGGGATTTGAAAAAATAAACAACACACCGATGGTAATGTCTCCCTCTTAATGAATGTGTGTAAAACTGTCACAGGCACAAAAACCAAAGCCAAAGAATCAAAGACTTACATCTGTCAAACCTATGCCACAGAAGCCATTTCAAAGTCAGGGCTATTTCTTAGATAGGTTTGAAAATGTATCTCACGATTTAAATTTGAAAACAAAGCAAAGCGCAAACACCAAGTAGAAGTTACACTACAAGGAACATGCAGGAGGTCAGCCAGGGGCAGAAGATAAAATGGTCAAAATGTGACATGGAGAAGAAAATTAAAAAAGGTACATGTAGGAATTCTACCAAGTTTTCTAAATATATATTGGAATTTAACTGTAATAGATTATGACATGGGCCAGTTTTTCAGTTAGTAGAATGTGTGTGACAATGTGGACAGCAGCCAGGTTAACTAGCTGGTGAGAAACTACTTCAGTTCCAAACCAGGGATACACTGTGTGGAGAGTGATTAAGGACTGTTAATCTAAAACCAAGTTAATCTAAAAACAAGAGGGTCTACAAGATGGGGCCATATGAATGTGTCACTGTGGTTAACCACAGTTATTCAACCTCAAGGTCTTTGTCGTGTAAGATCCCAGATAGCATAGTGAAGACTATCTCTATGACAAACACATAGTGTATCTTCAGTGCTGACGGGTGCTCTGGAGGAATGCCTGGTCAGTCACGGCAAGGATGAGCGTGAACTGCAGGGAATGAGAACGGCCTTGCTGATACCACTGGTTCTACCCAATGTGTTTCTTGGCAGATTCACCTAGAGGAATCGAAATAGTCCTCAAGCTTCCAACTAACCTGCTTTCGAACATCAAGGAGACAGTTGTGTAGTGTATCCTATTACCAACTTTTTTGTGTGAATTATAACCCTCACATGACTGTCACTGCCTCAGGTGGAGGCCCTGGGGTGTTTCTGTAGGCTGCCTTCTCCAGGTTGTGTACTGTGTGTTCTGGAAGGAAGCTCAGGACTTGAGTTTCAGGTTTTAGTCTTTCTCACTAGATTCCCAAACCAGCCTAGTTTGGTATAAGAGATCACAGAATACTCCTTAAAAAACTTCCCAACTAGAACAGGGAATGAATGAACCTGGTATACTGAAATGTTAATAATGAAAAAAAGTAAAGAATATGAAATATCCACAAAATAATAATCTTAATACAATGAACATATGTACATGTGTGCCATATTTTATGCAATTTAAAAGTTGTGCGTGAAATGAATTTCTGTGATATGAATATTTTAAATAGGCCAAAGTGTCTTGCTATTTAAGGAAAATCCATAAGCAGAGATTTTTGTAAAGAAAGTAAATCATGTTGTTTTGTTCTATAAATCATTTAGTATAATTTGCCTAAAGGAAGGCACACGTGTATTGAACCATGGGGAAAACCAGTTAATAGGGTTCTACTTTTTATATCATATCTAATTTCTCATAAAGTAAGACAATGAAAAATGAAGATGCCTATACTGATCTGCATTTAATTCAACACGCAGCTAAATCTACCAACAAAAAGTTTTGATTTAGCACTTCCAAACATTATAATTTAAACAGCATCACTAAAGTAGTTCCACTGTTACAACTTAAATATCATTAAAGAGACAATTTTATTTTATAAATGGATTAGGCATCTACTTACAGGAGACATTAAGCATTCCTAATTCTAAATGATCACACTTTTTAGCATAATCAAACTTTTGGACACTGTAAAATTAATACTGCTGTCAATTTTGGTTTTAAAAAGTTGGCCTGCATCTGAATGTTGAAAATGGAAGCTAAATACCTAGTTGAGTGATAAAAATGATAGAAAAAAAAGTGTAACTACATTTATGGATTAATGTCTCTCAAATCTTGTATATATAACCAAATACAAGTCACAACTATCAAAAACAGCTTCCAGTTGCCATGCTTATCAAATTTTTGTGTCGTACTTAAGGAATGAAAGAACTCCTTTTTGTATTTTTCTGACTTCGTCCCCAGTCAGAAAGTGGGAACTTGGACAAAAATATTAGATTACAGTATTCTAATGCAAAAAGAGAGAATTACTTGAAATTAAATGATAAAAATCCCAGACCACTCCAACTCAAAGCCCTTTCCACCAGTTGAGTCTAGATTGTCTCTAGGGTTGGATGTAATCATGGGGTTCTGAAGATTCCAGACAGGATGATGTCAACTTTGGGTGGTGACAGTAACACACCTCTTTCTTCAGAGAGAGCATTACTGATTGATCTGGAATTGATCCAGAGAGAAAAGGAAACAGCAAAGGAGCAACAGAAAGCTTATTTTTGACAGAAAAGAATATGATGAAGGACAAACATGAATCATGAACACGTGGGAAAAAAAACAACGAATTTTTATTCTAGTGTTAAGGTTAAGAATTTCAGATGCAAGACCACAGATGAAATATCATTACCCTTATGTTTAACTATTTTCATTTACACTGCTACTGATAGCCTCCTTTTCTTCAAAACTGGAAACTTAGCTACACTTTTAAGAGAATAAACTAGAGCTCAAAAAGATCTACTCACTTAGATTCATCGTAAGGCGTTTTACAGATACAATAAAGCTTTGTGTCCTTCTTAGTTTCCTTTGAGGTAGTAGAGATCATTTTCTTCTTCTTGGACTTGGAGTCTCTCTCCTCTTCCCGCTTCCTTTTCTGGGAAGCCACGGGCAGCGTGGTCGTGGCCGTGGCCAGGGGGCCCGGGTGCTGGGGGGGAGGCGGAGGCGGAGGCGAAGGCGGAGGGGCTGGAGGTGCAGGTGGGGCTGCGGGGCAGGTGGCAGTTACTGCTGCGGCCTGCACCATGTCTTTTTCCTTCTTAATTTTCAGGTCCCTCTTGAGCTCTTCCTGTTGTCAATTAAAGAAAATACCAGACCGTCAACCCATTTACATAACGTCCTGGCCAGAGGACCTTACCTTCCCTCCCTTGTCCAAGAAGTCCCCTAGTTCAGTCTAAGGTGAGGGCGTCTTGCTAACTCCATACAAGAGGGCTCTTACTTTACCTTAAACCCAACAGACAGCTAGATATAGAAAATGATGATTATACAGCAACTAGAAAGGAGTTATCTTCCAAGGAGGTTTGACAGAAAGATGAGCACGTGTATAAAAAGAACGGCCCCTCTGACACGCCAGGGTCCTGCCCTGGTCCCTGCAGTCGTCGCTCAGGACGTGGTTTCAAGTGTCCACACTCGCTGGCTGCCTTCTTTCAGCTGGTCTCCTTCTGTCCCTTAGAGTGAGACTGGACATACTGGACATGAACGGGATGTGACCCTCCAGACGTGGCCTGACCAGCAGAGTATGAGACAGATGCCCCTTATTTACTGTGCTTCTATGTCTATAATTTAAGACTTGAAGGAGAGCTATTTTCTCAAATGAAATTTTGCATAAATTACAATCTTCACTTTTTCCCATGTGAAATATTTTATAGGCACACCTGTGGTACTAAGTGCTACAACTTCTTAAAAATGATGACTAAAGAGTTTCATTTTCCTAAATAACATGATGTGTTTATAACATAAAGAGATGGAGTTTAGGAAAATTAAGATTGTCAAGACAGTATAAAGGGTACACACTTTGACCACCCCTTCAAGAACATTCCTATGACAGCATTAATATATGAGAAGTCTCTGCTTTCTGCATAGTTTTTATGTAAATTTAAAACCGTTCTTAAAAATGAAGTCTATTTTGTTCAAAGAAGGCAATCATAAATGACATAAGAACAGGTAGATATAAAGGACCAACTGCCTATCTTGATGATAAGAATAACAGCTTTATAACTAAAAATAATCTTTTTTGTTGTTGTTGTTGTTGGCAAAGTAATGTCTCTGCTTTTTATTTTTTTTATTTTTTTTTAATTTTTATTATTTTTTTTATTTTTATTAGTTGGAGGCTAATTACTTTACATCATTACAGTAGTTTTTGTTATACATTGAAATGAATTAGCCTAAAAATAATCTTTAAAATATACTAGTACACATCAATTTGAAAGTTGTTCTTCAACGGCAATCATCCTAGCAATAAATTCTATTAGTTAAAATAATGCTGAATATTTTAAGTACAATTTTTCTCCCTCATTAGACAAGCAATACACTGTCAGAAACAACACCGTAACTGTACTAGAGTATCTGCAGTAGTAACAGCATCTTTAAATGGCAGCATAGTATGGAGAATGCAGAAAAATGTTCAGTACATGCTGTTTACAGCGTGATTCTAATTTAAATGTGTTTTATGTAAATACATATATTAAAAATAATACATATATTAAAAATAATATATGTAAGATATATCCTAAAGTTATTTTAAAATTATAATCTTTGGGGGGGATCACCACAGATTATTGGCTCTTTTATTTTTGTTTCCTTTGACAATGGTTGTGACACCTCAATATTCATCTAGTAGTGACTACCTTACTGAACTCGCTCCTAAAGTTTAGTGATTTTTCTTTGGGGTTTCAATATAATCATACCATACACAATAACAAATTTTATCTTCTGTTTTGCTTTTTTGGGGTTTTTTTTTCTTAACATGTTAGGTAGAATTTCCAGAGATGCTGAGTAATGATGGTGATTCTGGGAATTACTGCCAGTTTCTGACTTCAGTGCAAAGATCTCTAATGTCTCAGAGTTATGTGCAATGCTCATTAGTAGGACGACCAGTGTTTAATGTTTTTTACTTTTAAAATGTACACGACATTTTTAGAGATGCTTTAGATAGCCTACTTCTCATTTAAAAAACTGTTTAAATATATATGAGTAATGTCTTCTTTCATTTTTCACCAAATTCTCCAAGTATACAGAGGATTAGCCATGCCTGCAGGATCAGTTACAAGAAGAAATCTGGCCTTATTTCCACTTAATATTTCCTTTAACATTATTTCACAGTTTCTCTGTCTACTCTTCTCATGAAACTTGGCAACTTTTGGCAAAACTATGTTGCAGACAATAAGAACTACAGCCAAGAGGATCCTTAAATGTTTTAATCAAAAGTCTAAACCTCTCCAAGTGGCTAGTTTATAGAGATCAGAATATACATGTATACATAAACATCGATCTTATTTTAAAAGACATATGTTCCACTGCTTACTACTTATTCTAGGAACAAAAATGTTAATTCTAGAAAACAAACTCAGATTTTAAGTTTAATCACAATTTCAAAGGGGAAAAAAAAAGAGTAAACTCTGATGCTGAACACTGGACCCAGGAGGACAGAAAACACTTTCTCACCTGCACTTCAATTTGTAGATCTTTGTCTAGCAGCGCTCTCTTTTTCAGTATTTCAGCTTTGAGGTGCTCTTTGTGCTTGAAGAGCAGTGCAGAGAGCTTGCTGGCATTCTGTTTGCTACGTTTCTGTTCCACACTCTCTTCTCGCTTCCGTTTTTTTGCTGCCTGTTTTTCTTCTTTATCTATCTTATCCAAAATATACTTCATCACCTGGTTACAGACAATCATTCTAGAGAGAAATACACAACCTATGTAATGCTGGGCATTTTATTCTGAAAAGCTTAAGACATAATTCTTCTATGTCTCTATAAACAAACTTTCTGGAACTGGAGAGCTTCAAAGAGTGCTTCAAACCAGTCACAAGCATCTATTAGTATTGAGTGTTCTGATTTAATAAACTCCAATCAGGATAAAACACAAACTCAGAACTCCCGTGCATGTGTGTATGTGTGTCTGTGTGTGTGTTCGTTCACGCGCACACTTTAAGAGAAGAGACTGATGTACAGTGAGAGCCTGTGTAATGGGTTATAAACATTTCTCCCTACCTTTGATTCTCTTCTCTTTCAGCTGGAGTCATGGTCTTTTTCTGTTTTAAATGTTCTATTACAGCATTATGCTTCATCACCACCTTCAGGACAGAATAAAATCCAAAAATGCGTATTTTATAATGACTACAAGTTAGCACAGGGGTAACAACAGTAGAAATCTGAACGTGTGTATGTGTTTCCCAAAGAAACTAAGAATTTTGTATCACAGTACAAATAAACTCAGAGCTACAGTACGGCCCAGGTGCTTACCGCGGACTGAGCACCGCACCGAGTGGAGCACCCGACATCACCTTGTTCATTCACTGCGACAACGCTGAATGGCAGGGACGTTTTTATAAATGAGATACTGAGATACAAAGAATTTACTAAGCTGTCTGAGAGTAAAGAATTAATACAGTTGTAATTTTAACCCAGCTTTCATCCTCCAATGATCACATTTTGAATGTTATGTTCTCCTTCCCAGGCATTTAAGATCACCCCATTCCAGCCCATCCCCACCTTATACAGAAGTAAGGGCAAAGACAGACATTATAATAATTCTTAGTTTATGGACCATATAGTACTGAAGCTGGAAAATAATACATTTTAAAATACCGCAGATGACGTTAGTTTTATAACACTATTACCATACATCTTCAAAATCCCTCTGCTGCTTAACGAGTGCTTCTAACAACAGTATTACAATCATCAAAGTTGCTAAGAGACTAGATCTTAAATTATTCCAATCACCAAAAAGAAATAAAATTATATGACATGACAGAGGAGTTAATTATTGCCATGATGGCAATCATAAGATACAAATGTGTCATATAAGTCATACACCTTAAATTTATACAATGCCACATGTCAAATATATTTTAATAGAAAAAAAGTGCTTCCATATACATGACCTAGTTTAATCATTACAATAGCCCTGTGTGGCTGGAAAGAGAGTTTTAAGAAGGATAAAGCTCAGGGAAGGTGAGTGAGCTTCAGGGACTGAAAATGGGAGACCCAGGAACTGGGTTCTCATGACATGGGAACACTTGAAATCCACACAAACTCCTGACAAGTGCGGAGTACTGCAAGCTGCAGATGCAAAGAAAGCCTTCTCCAGGAGTGTAGGATATTATTTATTATACATGCAACTCTATTTCAAGTAGAATAACTCTAATTCATCTAAATTGCCTTACTTCACTACGAGGCTACTGTACAAGGTTGCTTTTTATTTCTGCTATGGAGTAATGGTACTTAAAACTTCTTTTTTTAAAACAAAGCTATGACTTGGAAATACAAATGAGTTTAATGTGTCTGTAAAATTTGCTTAGTCTACACACAAACTGCTGCTGCTGCTGCTGCTAAGTCGCTTCAGTTGTGTCCGACTCTGTGCGACCCCATAGACGGCAGCCCACCAGGCTTCCCCGTCCCTGGGATTCTCCAGGCAAGAACACTGGAGTGGGTTGCCATTTCCTTCTCCACACACAAACTAAGGAAGGACAATTACAAATACCTTCAAACAAATTGCCACAATGCCTCAAGTGGCTTCAAAACTTAGTCAAACCTTCAAGTTTCAAAGATACTTAAACTTCCTATGTCCATTCTTTCCATCTGAGTTCTCCCAAAATACGGGTAGTGTTCACCGGTAAGTACTGGCTGTTTATACACAACAGAGTTCCAAACCATAAATCATGTGATACGTTCTGGTCAATGCGGTGCTGCTTCTAACTTGAAGCGACAATGACTTCTGTGTCTCGTTTACGGAAAGCTAACACAACCAAACACTACGTCTAATGCACAGCACAATCATTCAAGCTACTGAACATGCTGCTTTTACTTAATAACTTTACCTGTTTCTGAATGATTTCACTTTGATTAGAAGCTTGGAGGGTGTGTTCCCGCTTAATTTCTATCTGTTGCTGCTTCTTCTTTTGCTGCTGATCCCTGAGTTGCTGAACCCTCTGCAACTGCTCTTGCACACTGGCTGCCTGCACTGTAACCACATTCTGAATGTGGTGAGTCTGCACAGGGCTGCTTTGCTGAATCTGAACAGGTAACTGGAGTTTGATCTGCTGGGGCACACCACCTTGCTGAGCCTGTATCTGAGCCACAACCTGTGACTGGATCTGGGAGAGAACCTGGACTTGTGGTGGCAGCTGCGGCACAGCCAGGACTTGGGGCTGAGGCTGCGGTACTTGGAGCGGAGGACGGGGCGGGGATGAAACAGTAACTTGACTTAACGCTTGTCCTGGTGAAAGAGTTTGAGTTGAAGACTGTACCTGGGGTTGTGACTGTGGCTGGCCCTGGGAAGGTGTCGGAAGAGATGTATGTGGCTGGATTGGAATCGGTTGGGAGGCTGTAGTCTGACCCTGGGCCTGCTGTCCGGGAGACACTTGGGATGGCGTCGATGGACGTACTCGAGTCTGTGGTGGGCTCTGGACGCGAGCAGGAGACTGTCCTTGGACATTACTCTGAGGCGGACACTGTCCTGCAACCTGGGGTTTGGAGGACTGTGCTTGGGTGGGCTGTGCTTCAGGAGGGACATGGGAGGCCACAGTTGTTTGGGTCTGAACTTCAGGCTGAGTCTGAGTTTCAGGCTGAGCTGGGGCTGGGGGCTGGGTTTGGGGCTGGGGCTGAGCTGAAGGCTGAGCTGGAGGCTGAGCGGGCTGCGCAGGCTGAGGCTGGGCTTCTGGAGGACTCACGCTCGACGGAGCTGGAGGCAGGCTTTTGGCTGGCTGCACCTGTGTCGGGGACGATAATTTACTCTGTCTTTGTTCACTTGTACCTGTGAAAAAGCAAGAGCAAATATTTATGACTCCAGAACATAAGACTGTGGTTTAAGAAGAATTTGAAGGGGATTTTCTTTTCTTTTTTTGTTTTTTGAAGGGGATTTTCTAAAGGTGAAAATTCTGCATTTCAGGACGGAGGATTGAAGCTTGGGAAATGCTCCATCTAGAAATACTTTGGTCAGGACTTGCCTAAATCGAGGAACCCTGGCCATGTTCACGGCTGCCCTCCACACATTTTGCTAAGTCTCCAGAGGGCTGGCTTCCAAAAGTAAAGCGCAGTCTCTGGACATCAGTCTAGCCTTGTGGCCCAGGCTAAGCAACCCATATCCCTCTCCTATGGCATGGGGTCCCTGAAAGACAGTAGCTTGCAGGGGAAGCTCTCAGGTTTTGGAGCTCTCAGCCCTAGCTTATGAGATGGAGAGACCCAGCTGCCCTGCGAGCAAGTCCGTGATTCAATCAGCACCTACAGGTTTGGTACAGAGTAAGAGGGGCACAGTCACCATGCAACTCTACTATTGTGCACCATCCCCTGCTTTCCTTCCTTCATTCTTAAAGGGCTGGAGGGGTGGTGACAGGGAGTCCGTCTGAGCAAGAGACCTGGTCGAGCTCTTGTGAGGCTGACCAGTCAGCTGTGGACGCTCGTCGGCTCGGGGCACATCCTCCCAAGGTGTGCCCCAGTCCTGCCTCCTCTGTCACCCAGCAACTTGTGACAACGAGCAGCACTTCTGACGACTCCCAGGTTCTACCTGCTGCTGTGGTGGAGACGGTGGTGGTGGTGCTGCTGGTGGCGGCGGCTGTGGTTGCCAACGGGGTGAAGAGAAATCGCTGAACGGTACCATTTGGCATTGCAGCCTGCATCAGCTGCTGTCCTGGGCCCGGAAGTATAGTCACCCCTTGAGGTATCAACTGCAACTGCCCAGTAGTCTGACCTTGTCCTTGAATGACTACTGTCAAACCTTGATTGCCACCCTACAGAAAAAAACACCTAACATGTAAAGAGTATACAAAAAGCATCAAACTGTAAGTATACTGTTTTTATATTGAAAAGATCCTTTAAAATAATGAAACTATGTATTTGAATGTCTATGGAACAGTACCAAGATAAATACAGATAAGCTAAAAGAACAGTATTTATTTTAAAAGACTGACGATTAGTGGAAAAAACCATGAATTAACAGTCCAGAGTTCCAGTCCGAGTTCTGCACATGGACAGCCAAGGAATCCGTCAATGTGTAACACCACTCACCTGGATCTAAATCTCCCAGTTAGAAATAAGAACACTGAAATGACTAACTAAGGTCTCCACAAAATTCTGAGTTTCAATCACCTTATTTATATTCATATTCTTTTGTAACTTTCAAAGCATCTTCATACATACTTTAGACATGCCTCATTTAATTCTCACAAAAGAGTTGTAACTTTGTGGAGTAGGGAGAGAAAATATTACTACACTCTTCCTACCAATTAGGAAACTCAAGTTAGAAAGTTCAAGTCCCTTGCCTACAATTAGAGAGCAAGTCCCAGGTGAGACACAGTGAGCAGCCCAGGTGTCCTAGTTTCAGTTTTTTCACTTTGTACCAAACAATCTATGGAATGTACGTATGCTGAAGCATAGAAAGCTTAGGTTCTACACATGGAATGCAAACACCACATGAGGAAGGTCACTAATGTCTGAGCTGTCACCAAAATGGGGACCAGGATCTAAAAGCTCTGTATGTACTACCACTTCTGTCCAGGACTTATTAATCCTCAACCACCAGGAGCATGAGGGAGAATTAGAAAGCAAGCGTAAAACCAATCCATCCCCAATCTCCAACAGTCAAAACTCATACTACAAAGTTCACTTATTCAGCTCCATGCACTTTTACTCATGAGCCCCTTATTCACTTTTACTTTTCTAAAATCCTTTTTGTGTGCACAGTCAAAACTACATAAAACACAAAGTGTAAAGAATAATTATGAAGTGAAGATCTATAAACCCAGCATTCAGGTCATCATTGCCAGTATCCAAGAAGCTCTGCACGTGATCTGCTCTGATCTTAATCTCCTTCATTTTGCCCTAGAGGGAAGCACTAATTTCATGGATACAGTACCTGCATTTCATCGTGTTGTGACCACTGAGGTGTATACAGATCTCTATGGGGCCACAGGCTCACGACTTCAGGAGTACCATTTACAAAGAATATGAAGGTCGCCCCTTGGTGTCCCCTCCAGGAAGGCAATGCAGCAGCCCCCAACTCTACACAATGTGGCTAGTTTTGCCTGTTTCTGAATCTTAGGCAAGTAGATCATAATGTATGTCTGCTTTTTACTTGCTTCTTTATTTAGCTCAACAGTGTAGTTCTACATTGTGGTAGTTTGTTCATTTCAGTTGTTGTAGGAAGGCATCTTCACTTTACTGATCTAATTGATGGCTGCTGTATATATTCATGTCCATTATTCTGGTGCTCAGATGAACAAGAACTTTTCGAGAGAACGTACCTAGGAGGGCAACTACTGTGACCTGGGGCATGCTGTGTCTTCAACTTTGCTAGAAAGTACTGAGTTTTCCAAGGTGGCCAAACCAATTTACATTATTATCAGTTGTGTATCAGAGCTCATTCTACTCCATGTTTTTGCTATTTCTTGATTTTGTCTGACATTTTACTTTATACCAATCTCTTCATATATAGTTTTAAAACACATTTCCCTCATTACTAACAAAGTTCAGCAGTTTTTTCGATTTGTGGACATTTAAGAGTTCCTCTATTCTCATCAAGGGTGTCTATTCTTGTTTTCTACCAAGTTATCTGGATTTTTTCCATCTTAACCTGTAGTAATAACTCTTCATTTCTGGAGAACAATCCTTGGCTGGCTATATGTATACCTTCCCCTCACTCTTTTCACTCTTTTATGTTTGATGGACTAAAGTTCTTATTTCTGATTTTGTTTAATTTATAAATCTTTTTCTTTATGGTGAGTATTTTCTGTCTTTAAGAAAGCCTTTCCTACCTTCTGACAAGTACTACAGTCTTATCTTTCACAGCCAGGACTTTAATCTTCCTGAAGCTGAGCTTATGAGTTGAGGTTGTGGTTCAAGTTCATGGCTTCCCATATATATTCAATTGTGCCAGGACCCTTTATTGAAAAGTCTGTCCTTTTAATGATTCACACTGCCATCCAGGTCATATATCAAGTGTCCGCATATACATATGGGTCCTCTTTTACTGTTCTGTACTGACTGGTCTACCTATCCTTGTGTTTGAACCTTACTGTATTAATTATCGAAGGACTATAATTTAAAGTCTTGATATCAGGTTACTGCTGCTGCTGCTAAGTCGCTTCAGTCATGTCCGACTCTGTGTGACCCCATAGACGGCAGCCCACCAGGCTCCCCCGTCCCTGGGATTCTCCAGGCAAGAACACTGGAGGGGATTGCCATTTCCTTCTCCAATGCATGAAAGTGAAAAGGGAAAGTGAAGTCACTCAGTTGTGCCCGACTCTTAGCAACCTCACGGACTGCAGCCCACCAGGCTCCTCCGTCCACGGGATTTTCCAAGCAAGAATACTGGAGTGGGGTGCCATTGCCTTCTCTGATCAGGTTACTACACAGGGCAAATCTTCCTTTTCTTCAAAAGTATTACTCTGGATCTTTTGAACTTCCATATAAATTTTTTAAAAATCAGCTTGTCAAGCTTTAAAACATCTCTCTCAGGATTTTGATGGCAACCACACTCACTCTATGGATTACTATTGAAGAACTGATAGAACTGATAGTAACACTGGGTGTTGCAGGAAACAGCATAATGTACTCAAATTTTATTTTTCCAAAGCAAATTAGTTAACTAATAAAATACCTTGCTATTATAGCACACAATCTCAGGACTCTGGACAGTTGAGTGGTATCACATTCTGCCTTTAAAAAGTACTTTTCTGGGAGGGAGGTGGGAGGGGGTCCAGGATGGGGAACACATGTACACCCATGGCAGATTCAAGTCAATGTATGGCAAAACCAATATAATGTTGTAGAGTAAAATAAATAAATAAATTTTTAAAAAAAGTACTTTTCTTTGACTCCAGGAAGCAGCCATTTCTTAAAACAAGTATATTTTTAAACCTCCGAAAATAAGCACATGTTTTAAAACTTACAGCAGATGTCTCTAAAGCTGAAAGGGAAGTCACACTACTTACGTGGCCCTGTGTTAACTGAGTGAGCTGAGCCATGGTCAGTTTCACCTGTCCTTGCTGGGGACGAGGCGGCTGTGAGGTTGAAGGCTGCAGACTCGGGGTGGATGTTCCTGAAGTTAACCCCTTCTGTGCAGGTGTGGAGGAAACAGTACTAGGGGCAGAGATCGCAGTGGAAACAGGCTGCCCTCTGATGATTTGTGTCACCACCTGCTGAGGAGCACCTATGTAAACAGCAAAACATTAGAGTGCTTCTGTGCCCTGAGTGGTACTCTGAATTGAGATTTATCTTTCAATACTTCGCAAGAATGTATTTTCTCAATTTTCAAAAAGACTTATGGGATGCCGACAGACAGATGCCTTTAGTCATATACCCACACCTGCAGGGCCCACCCGCTTGTCAATGGGTCTGTTTTCACTCAGCTCACTGACAACCTCTCTCCCACTCCTGCCGTCTGTAGAAGAGTTAAAAACAAACAAACAAACAATGTTCTTCCTGTGACTTTAAAGCCAAAATGGTAATACGGAAGATTGAAGAGAATATATAAAAAATGCCATTAGGCACTCTTTCCTTAGGAATACAAATTAAAAATAATAACACATAATTAACTAATGTAATTTTTAAACAAAACACATATAATCTGGAATATTCTGGGCCAATTACATTTATAAATGAGCTTTTCTTACAGCTATCTGCCAAACAGTTCGGGAGAACCAAGAGGGCAAGGACCCCTATATCCTCAATATTAAAGTAATGTGCTTAACTAATGCTTTCATATTTACTGTTCAATAACTTATCTATAGAATGAATGAAGTCTAATTGAAATGGCTCTATCATCATCTTTAAAAACTGTTTCTCATTTAACCTGATAAAACTGGAAAAAAAAATCAAATGGTAATTATTTGGTAGCTAGTTTTATACTTACAAACTCTGAATTCATTATTCATTAGTAAATAACATCATATTTCTGAAGTTTTATGTTCACACCTTGTTTGTCCTTTTGTGTCTACATATCTATTCCTGTGTATATTTTTTAATGATTGGGGGTTAATATTATGCATTATGTATAAAATTAAATCTAATTTGACCCTTAGAACACTTTTCCCTTTTCTTTTTTTGAATAACACCATGGTGAAATCCCTGCTTATAAAGTTTTTTGTGCTTCTAATTATTTCCTTAGAATGAACTCCTCCCAAAGATACTGTATTCACAGTATGTACACAATACTAAATTGAATTTTAGAAAGGTTATACTCATTCATAATCCCCCCACCACTGGGTACTCATTTCATTGAACTTTTGCCAGCCCTGTCACTAAAGTAACATATTCCAGCAATCAGAAATAGTATGACAGCATCACAGTGCCTGCATTTCTTCAATTGGGCTAGCTTCCTTTGGTAGCATGCTCTTGAATTCTGGTGGCTTGTAAAATATGCTTTAAAAATTGGCAGGGTAAGTTTTCTTTCTTTTCTCTTTCTTCTAAACTTTTCCTGGTTATTGTCATCCATTGATTCATTAAGATGAATCGAAAAATAGTATAGTATATGTAGGCAAGTGCCTGAATTTAAGAACTTCTGGACCCCAACACTATGTTCTTGTACTAAAGTTCAAGGAAAAGTTCATGAAAAGGTACTTCATCATCTTGTACTGATACAATGTCATCATAAACACAGATGGATAAAAGGGTTGGTACTGACTGGTTTATGATGTAATTCAGATGATCCCCCATATGTACATGTTAAATTTATTTTTAGATCATTGAAACGCAAACTCAAAAATTTTTAAACGCTTTTTATTCCATCTTGGGAATGTTTGACTTTGGGAACGAGGCTAACGAGTGTGGTGGTAGGAATAGGGATACGCTGACCAGCACACACTCAGACACACACACACACACTGCACACATTCACTCTCCCTCCATCTCCTTGACCATAGGGATACGCTGACCTGCACACACTCACACAGCACACATCTACTCTCCCTCCATCTCTCTGACCACAACTCCAAAGAATCTTCACTGGGCACCCCCAGCCCCACTGGCCACCTTGCTTTTCATACAACACACCAGACATAGTCATATATATTCACATATGCAAGTCTACTATCACTTATCATCTATAAACTTTTCTTCTTCTTTACGTGAGTTTTATCTGCTCTTTAAGTTAGCTGCCTGATAGCTATTTTTAAACACAGATAGTAAATTTCATCAATCGTCATTGTAGTATTAACTGAAATAACGAACCATACTTTCTTCTCTGGGATAAATTTTGCTTAAGCCTTAAGGGATTGCAGTTTCAAAAAAATACCAAGCCACGTTTTATACTAGAATTATGCTAAATCTGTAAAACGAATGGGAAAAAAAAAAAATCAATCCCACCCCTTGCCCTTATGCCCTGAAACTATTTCTTATAAGAAAGAAACTGTTTTCCAACCATTTCAGAGAATTTTATCTATAAACCCATGAGGTCTAGAATTCTTTTTTGTAGGTAATAGTATGGCAACTTCCCAAATCTCTTTCCTTGATATGAGTCATTAAGACTTGAAATTTAGGGGACTTCCCTGGTGGTCCAGTGGCTTCCAATGCTTCTACCGCAGGAAGGCGTGGGTTCAATCCCTGGTTAGGAGACCAAGATCCCACATACCATGTGGCAAGGCCAAAACAATTTTTTAAAAAGACTAGGAATTTATAAACATAGTATATAATTATGCCTTGTTATTCAAAAAGATTTAGTTCATTCTATTTTTATGGCACTTTCTCATTCCTACTTTTAGTAAACTAGCATTTTGTTTCCTTTTGTCAAGATCAGACTAGCAAAAGAGTTTAATATTTGCCTTTTCTGCCTTATAATCATTATTACTTGTATTTATTTTACTTCCTCCTATTTTCATTAAGACTTGTTTTATATATTTTTCTAACTTCCGATTAAGATTTAATATGGGTTTTTGAGTCTGTTTTGTTCACCAACATGTTTCAATTGCCTAGAGTAGGTGCTCAGATATTTGTTGAATGAATGAATTTGCCTCTCAGTTCAGCTTTGCAGCCTGGCTTAATTGCTATTTGATAATCTGTGATGACACATTTTATTTTCTTTAACATAAAAGTTACTTTTGAAAACATACGTTTTTAAATTCCAAGCAAATAAAAGTTATTAGTATAATACTTTAATATTAATTTCTAGATTCACTACAAAAAATGTAGCCTATACATATTCATATTCTACTTTTTGAAATTCATCAAGGTTTTACCTATGGCTCATTTTAAGACCATTTTCATAGGAACAGCTCATAAATATTTGCAACTAATGTGTATTCCTAAAGGTACAAAATTGATATAGTCTGGTTCTGGTCTATTATGCTTCTGCTAATCCTTCCTTGATTTCAAATAGTTTTTGCTTTATACACTTCAATGACATCTTATTTAAAGATACAACATTACATCTTCACTGCAATCTTTAGCTTTAAGCCAAAATAAATAAAATGACCCTGTGTCCTAGTTGTTGTTTTTTTTTAATTTTGAATTTGACTTTGTTCAGTATTAATAGGATTATTGATGTCTTCTCTCTCCCCCTTCTTCTTTTTTTTGTCCTTTATTTCATGTATCCTTAACCGTCTTTTTTTTTTTTTTAAACCTTTTGTGGTAATCTGCTTTTAGGTACATTCTCATAAAAGTTTTTCCACTCAGTCTTTATTGGCTTCAACTTTTAATATTTGAGCTTTAACATTTACATTAAAAAGGGCAGGGATTGCCTTTGTAATTTTGTCTCATGCTTTCCATTTAAATACTTCTTAGCCATTTCTTTGATTTTATCTGTCCTTTACCACACAAACTGATTTCTTTGCTCATTCTCTTTAAGCCAATGATTTCAATCTATATATCCCATTAAATAGAGGTTTTAAGAACATTTTAAACAAGTATACTTGAATCTGCTTTTCTCTTATGGACAATGCCAGAAATGAAATAAAATCGATGGGGACATCCCATGATAAATCAGAAATTTAGTATGCTTTGAAATCTTAATTCATATTGGTATTTAGAAATATGTGGAGTGCCAAATGCAGAATATTATAGATTTCCTACACTGGCTATTTAGATGTAAAATGATAACGCTGGGGTGGATGAATACCTGGCTGTACCATCACAGGTGTTCGAATAATTGCCTTTCCTAGTGTTGACTGCTGGAGTGGAGTTCTAATCACCGTCATACCAGGGCGGATCTGAGGCCCTGTGATGACCTACAAATGACACAAAGGACAAGGAATTAAATGTTTTTAAAAGACTACAGCATGATGGACTCAGGAACAGAGATCTTTAAACATTCTATATTGATAAACATGTCTACAGAAATGACAGAGACTCTTGGACATTACATATTAAATTATATGAAGCATCAGAATAAAGACAAAATTTTGAGGGGAGAAAATAGAATTCAAATCAGATCATACAACATTCCTTATCACTGATACCAAGAATAGCCTACAGACTAAAAGAAAAGAACAAGACCCAGGAAAGCTTGCTCTATAACCACCACAGTTGCTCATAGGAAAACGAGGAGTCCCATTTTTCCTGAGCATCAATCTTTATCTGTAACCCAGAGAACACAGAAGCAAGATTGGAAGTCAAAAGCTCTTTCATACTTTAAAAGAAAGACTATGGAGCATATTACTTTCAGTGTTAGGTTTAAAACATTCTCAAGTCTGCAAAACATTAAACCTTTTTCATAATACTAGTGTCAAAGAAATGATGTATCTAATATGTATGCGTATCAGCTGATAGACTAGTTTCAGGGTTGTGGATAGTATTTTTCACTCTACTTCTTAGTTGTACTGAATGTTCTCCTGGGTGATCCAGTGTTCCCCACTGTTTTCAATTAAGAAACATTTTTGTAAAATCCTGGAAAAGCAATCTTTATGATTCATAAGTGTACTAATGTGCTATTAGCAAAATGTTAAAAATGAACAGTTCACTAGAAATATAACTAACAGATTTTTTTAAAAATCAATACTTTTGTCACAGAGAAAGTAAAGGGCAAAGAACAATTAGGAGCTAGATTAATCCAGGAGGAGGCCATTCTAAAAACTCCAACCAATGTGGTTATTAACATCAAATAACCCTGTAAAGGACTCTTACTTGGGAAGCGGTTGTGGTTCCTCCAGAGCCTGAGGTATTGGGCCTAATGGTGACTGTTGCTGTCCTGGGCTGGAATGAAGTAAAGGTTTGCTGACTTGTACCTGTACTCGATGGAATGATACCCAGGACTTTCTGCTGTACTTGAACAACGCCTTAAAAAAAAGACGAAGAAGTCATTAATAACTGCTTCTTTAATAACACCTCAGGTATTGCTTGGTTTCTGAGGAGAAACTAGGTGTGGCGGGGGGTTTTAGTGGGCTACATAAAATGTGAGATCCGAAGACTGAAATCAGTGAAAAGGAAATGAAAAATAATGGCAACAGTATGATCTGGCAAATGTGAATTAAAACTCTCCACATTTCCCTTACCTCCTTGTGTTGCTGGCACATTTACAGCGACAATCTTGCTGTTTGCAGGAAGTGGAAGTTTGGTAATTACTTTTCCTGCCATAGTGACTGGATTGCCTGTAATTTGGAACGTCTGACCTGTGCTGGCAATGGTTGGAGCAGATGTGGCAGCTGTGCTGGTGGCTAATGGGGCATAAGACATTCGATAAGCTTCAGGTTTAAAATAACCAGCAACGCAGTGACTTCTAGGAAGGCACCAATGCATGAAATGTGGCTCATTTTGGTATTTTTAAGAAAAACATTGCACTCCACTCAAAGTAAGTGAACCATGTAAATGTTGAAAGTGAAATAATGTAAGAGAGGAGTTTTGCTAATGTAATATTAGGAACATTATCTGTAACAAACCTACTGTTATAGTTGGTTTGCTCAACCGGCTGCAGAAGAAAAAGAATTTTCTTAAGAAAAGTTTCATTTCAGTATATTTCAGTAGGTAAAGGACTGAAATTTCTTTTTCTTGAATGAAAGCAATCTTTTATTTAATCACAGGTGTGTACCTGAATTTGACTGGCCTTGCTTAACCCAGGTGGCAAAGGTTTGATGAAAGTTCTTGTTCTGCTGGAATGTTACTGTAGCGGGAGATCCAACTTTAGTAGTGAGTACCATTTTAGTTCCGGTTGTGACCGAGCCACTTATGGGGGCCACCATGACTTTCTGTGCTGGAGAGATGGTACTAGTTGTACTGTTTGTTGGGGAAGTAGTAGAAGCTGCAATCACTGTAGGCTTCTGCTGTTCCAATCGTTTCTAGAAAAGTAAGGGAGAGAAATCATGAACAAAAATCATTTCAAAGAAAAACACCATTCCGTAAGAAGTCCAGTCACAATTCCTTCTTATCTAAGAAACTGCACTGCAAACTTCTAAAAATACTTTACTTCTAAAAATGTGCTCATATAAACTCACACCTGAATTTAATTTCTTGAGGAAGGCAATACTTTTATGACTCTAAATCACATATACTTTATTAAAAATAGCTTTTCACAACAAAAATTTGAAATGATCATGTTTTTCCAGTCCATGTAAAGGTCCAAGCTTTCAGACTGAAAACATAAGAGACACGGGTGATCTTACTAGACACAAGGATATCGTGCGACTCGGTGGTGGGGTTTAGAATAGACAGCAAATGATGGGCCTGTAAAAGGATTCAGTTTTATCATGATGCTCATTTATCCAATGATATAGAATGAGTCAATTTGGGGGCGGGGGGGGGGGGGGGGGGAGCTTTTCCATGTGACACGCAGAATCTTAATTCCCTGACCAGGGATTGAGCCCAAGTCCCCTGCAGTGGAAGAGTGGAGTTTTAAACACTGAGCCAGTAGGGAAGTCCCCAAGAACAGATCAATATTTAAATATCACTATTCAAGTTGGCAAACCTGCAATCACGCAAGCTGAAAATTATAAACAATTTTTCTAGACTTATATTTTTCAGTTCAAGTATTTTTACATAAAAATCCTTAAGCCTATTTTATACAGAATGGTATAATCTGATCTTTCAGACTATAGGGTTATCAAAGACAATGTTTCTTTACCCATAGATTGCTGCCTTTTCCTGACAGCTTACTGACATGACGGCTTACGTTTACACATGTAAAATCTACAGATGGCATTGACTACAAACCTGGTGGGAGATCCTTTACCTTCATTATCCTATTTAACGTTTGGATCTTTAAATTATGATTTAAAGATGAGGAAACTGAGACTCAAGTTTGTAAAACTAGTCTAAGGTCACAAAGCTAGTACATGGTGGAGCTGAGTTGTGTACGAAGATCAAATTTCAATGCTGAAGTATTTCCTGCCCTCGAAAACGGCTCAGCAAAGACAGCACACCCAATCTTTTTACTGTTACTTTTGTATATGTCCTGTATGCCTGAAAATAAAGTGAGGTATTTTATATAAATTCTCATTTCTAAGAAGAAAAGGAGTTTAGTTTTAGATTCCTAGAAATCTCATCTGACTAAATTATTATTATTTTTTTTTTTTTAAAAAAGGAGACCAAACACATCCCCCTAAACGCATAGCTATTTTCTGGGTCTATGCCTTTAAATATTGGAAATGTAGACTTACGGGAAATACAGCCAATATTTTGTAATAATTGTAAATGAAGCATAACCTTTAAAATTGTGTAAAAAAATTACAAGGGTAAAAGAAATCATAGATTTTATATGTCCACAGAATCTGCTGGGTTTGTACACATATTCAAAAAGGCAAGTCTGTCATTAAATTCTAGCTGTCATTAGTACCTAATTTCTGCATGAAAAAAAAAGTTAAGATCATCTTCACTGCTAAATGTGAAAAGTATATTAAAATGAAGACTGACCTGTTTCAAGAAAGATTCTGAATAAAGATTCTGAAGTAATGTATAAATTAAGTATATCCTGCTCTGTTCAATTAAGCTATATCCAGGATGTATGTCCAACACCTCAGAAACTGACACACATGGGAAAAACAGAGAAAACAATGTTCCTGGGGGACTGAAATGGGTAATAAATCAAGTTCAGGTTCTGATTTTCAACTGCCAGAGAAAAGTTCATTATCAAATTATAGAAATTGACTCCCTGCCCACCCCCCACTCCCACAACCAAAGCAAAACCTTAGGTTGCATCGAGGAGATGATAAAACACATCCATAAAATGAAAAACAAAACAACCAGCCAGTCTTTCCATAAGTGGACAGACACAACAAAATCGAAGTGTTGTTATCTCAAACTCTGAACTAAGTAAAGATGACCCATAGTGAACCACTGTAAAAGATATGTAAGAACCTGAAAAATGTTTTATAAAATATGAGGGCCAAGGTAAAATGTGAGGAAATGAAGAATCTGATTTAATATTTAATTTTTAATTTAGTTTTGTGTCACCAAGCTCATGGTATCTATTTTATCTATATCCTGAAAATTTATATATTCAAGTTTGGCTAAAAGCTTTTATAGTATCTTCTTAACAATATGAAGCAGTAACTATCTTTTATGCAGGTCCCTAAGTTATCAGGCACAATTTGCTTTTTCATAGGCTAAGAGATTTTATAGCTCAAAATTTTGCAGGAAAAAATTATCCTTAGAAGCTACTTGTCAGAACTTTCCTAATGGTCCAGTGGCTAAGGCCCTGTGCTTCCACAATGTTATGTGGCAGCCTGGATGGGAGAGGGGTTTGGGGGAGAACGGATACACGTCTATGTATGGCTGAGTCCCTTCACTGTTCACCTGAAACGACAAAAGTGTTTGTCAATCGGGCATACCCCAATACAAAATAAAAAGTTAAAAAAAAAAAAACAAAAAAAACAAGACTCTGCTTGTACTCAAAGAGGTGAGGGTTCAACCCCTGGTCAGAAAACTAAGATCCTACCTGTCACACGACATGACACAGCCAGGAAAAAAAAAAAGAACCTACTCATTGAAATATAACAAAGAAGAGCTTAGACTTCAAACAGTGTTCTTCAAATATGTACACTTTTTGCAAAAACACAGCTTGGTATATCCACAGAATTACTTTCAAGTACTGAAATTAAGATACATGTGTGAGATACACATAAAAACAAAACCACATAAACATATAATTACTGTGCTTTTAGCGTGCATGAATTTGGCTAAAAATGTCAATTCGTTGCCAGGTGGGACAGTACCAACTCCCCCACCTGCTGGGCAGCCAATCGCTGCTGTTTGAGGTGAGCCTCCATTTGGGCCTTGAAGTCCTCTGCCTTCTTCTGTTCACTAACCTTAGCCTGTTGCTCAACTGCTTGTGCCTTTTCTTTCTCCACTCTGCAGGGAAAGAAAGGAGGAATTTGTCAGAAACTACAGGCATACCTCAGAGACATTGTGGGTTTGGTTCCAGACCACCGCAATAAAGCAAATATAGCAGTAAAGTGAGTCACATGAATTTTTTTGATTTCCCAGTGCATATAAGTGATATTTACACTATTACTATAGCCTATTAAGTGTGCAAAAGCATTATGTCTAAAAAAATGTACATACCTTAATTTAAAAAATACTTTGTTGTTAAAAAATGCTAATAATCACCTGAGCCTTCGGTGAGTACAGTGGTAACATCCAAGATCACTGATGGGGAGTGGGGACAGGGGTCGGAGTAAGGTTCAGGAAATGGGGGATGGATACATGTATACTTATGGCTGATTCGTGCTGTGGTAGGCAAAAACCAACACAACGTTGTAAAGCAATTATCCTTCAATTAAAAAAAAAGATCACTGATCACACATTATTATAAGAAATATGATAATAAAAAATTTCGAAATATTCTAAGAATTACCAAAATGTGATATAGAGACACAGAGTAACCAAATGGTGTCAGAGAGATGGTGCCAACAGACTTGCTCAAGGTAGGGGGGCCACAAACCTTCAGTATGTAAAACCAAAAAACAACAAAAAAAGCAGTCATCTGCAAAGTGCAAGAAAATGAGTAAGCCTGTATCCTATCAGGCATCTGGAATCTAATACTAAGTGAAATCTGGGTAAATGTCATAAAAGTATAAAATTATTTCAATTTAAAAGTAAAACAATAAATCAAGGTAATTCACAACTGACAAGTGGGTGATAGATCATAAAAATCAGGAAGAGGCCCTTCATAAACAACACACAGCTAGAGAATCAAAATGTGGATCAAAATTAGGACATACTGAATAAACTATTCAAGAAGTAATTCTTGAATTCTGAAGTGACAGAAATCTTCAATATCTGATCATATGTAAGCCATTTCCTTACCTTTCAGCAAATGCCCTGATCTCCCATAATTCCAGCTCTTCCTCTGCCACCCAGGTCTCGATAATAACAGGGCCAGTTTGCTTGGGCGTTTCTGGTCTCTTTGGCCGCAACGCACTTGATCGAAGGCCTTTCCTCTGAGGTGTAGGTGTTTCTTTGGAAAAGAAACCAGAGTATTCTAAGCAATATAGCTTCTAAAATTATAGTACTTCTGGCATCTTCTCTTATATCATGAAAAGCGGGGATTGGCAAAGTTCTCTTAAAGGGCCAGATGGTAAATACTTTAGACTATGCAGGCCAGATGGTCTCTGTTACAACTTCTCAACACTGCCTTTGTATCATAAAAAGAGCCAAAAACAACATATATGTAAGTGAGTAAGTGCGGCTGTGTTCCAATCAAACTTTACTAACAAAAGCAGATGGTGGGTCAAAGTTCATGGGCTGTCGTTTGCTGGCCCCTGATATAAAAGTCCTATGAGCCTTTACCCAGCCTGTTCCCTCTGCCTGCACACTATTCCTAGCTCCCTTCATCCTCATTTGACTGCTGCTTAACCATCCTTCAGACCACAACATGGACACCAACTTGCTTCAAGAAGCACGGCATTGTCCTCCCAGGTGGGCTGGGGGGGGGTCTCTGACATGTGCAGCCCTGGCAATCTGTATTTCCCGATCATGGCACCGAGAAGAGGGACTGGAGAGTTACTAACGGAGAGAAAGGATTGGAAACTATTAAGAACAGATATAATTTCCAATGATAAGATTTTAAAAATAAAAAGTAAGGACAGACAAGCATTGAACCGTCCCATATGTTCAGGAAAAAGAGAAGCAGCAGAATCACAGGCAAGCAACAGAAGGAAACTGAAACAGCAGCAGGAGCTGGGTTGTATGCAGTGATATAAGAAGAGTGATTTCAGAAGACTGGCAGTGGTTTGCATGAATGGCTGAGGTTGAGACTGGTCAGGAACACATTTTTCCATCTGTGTGCCTCTGCCTATCAGTGTTCCAGGACGCCCTTGCTTTAATTCTACTAGTATTCCATCATCTTTTAGGACAGGCACCCTCCTCGTTGGTACTCTTTTCAAAAAAGTCATTCCTATTTATTCCCCAAGATGAGCTTTTGAGTTAATTCAATCAAGATTCAAAAAATTAACTTTATCCATTTGGGGACAATTAACTTCTATAAAATAGTAAGCTTCTATCTATAAACAGCATTTTTTTTTTACACACTTCTTAAGATATTTTTCCTTAAGCACTTTTACTACACATATAAAATAAAATTACTGACTTTTGTCTAATTATAGATCTTGAATCTGGACACCTTACTGCACTCTTTTTAGTATTAATAGTTTTGATTTTCAATATAGTACTATCATACCTTTTGCTTCCTTGAGAATAGGGCTGGATCCCATTCTTCTATATATTTGCCACCTAGTACCTATCATATAGCTGTCCATGTTTCCTGAGTTAACTCTTTACACCTGTTAGGTTAATCTACACTGAGCACCTACGTATGACACAAGAGCCTGAACCCTTGAGTCAACACATCTTCAGTGATCACTTCTGTGTCAGATTCTGCAGCAGGCTCCAGGACTACAACCAGACACATTCGAAGGCTTGAGTCTTGGAGCTGATGGTCTGGGGTCAACCACTGCCCCACATCTTAATTAGAACAGGTATTTGTACCCTTCTTCTGCTGGGCACTGCTGACTGTGGGCATCACAGTGCCCAGGGGAATCTTGCTATATTTATTACTTAAGTATCATTTTAAAGATGAAACTGTCTGTGATGAAAAAGTATTGCTTTCAAAAGTTGAATGAAGAGTTAAAGCAACACTCCAGGGCAGAAACAGAGACTCTGACAGAGAACAGAATTATGGCCACAGTTGGGGGAGAGGGTGGGATGCATTGAGAGAGTTGCAGTGAAATATTTACACTATCATGTGTCAAACAGGCAGCTCGCGGCAAGCTGCTGTGTGGCCCAGGGAGCTCAGCCTGATGCTCTGTGACAGCCTAGAGGGCGGGATGGAGTGGGAGGGAGGGTCCAGAGGGAGGGGATGTGTATACACCTATGTCTGATTCACGCCGACACACGGCAGAAACCAACACAACATTGTAAAGCAATCATCCTCCAACTAACAATACATTTTTGTTAAAAAGGCATTTTAAGGTGCCTCCCACAAGAACCTATGGACAATGAACTATTAAAAAGTAATGAGAACCAAATTTCAATTCATAAAAGATATGGCTAACAGGTGAATAATAACAGAATTCTTTCTACTCCTTACCTTTGGGTGCTTCTGGAACTCCAATGGGGCAAATGATTTTCCTGATACAATATTCAGATCGAATGCCATAAGGACCAACATCTCGCCTCTTAATTATTTCTGTTGTTGTGATTTCAGTTTCTGATGTTTCTATGGAAATTTGATTCACACAGTTATTAATAACCACCCAAAATATTCAAAGAATAAAAAAGTACAGCATCTGGTGCTTTAAAAAAGGCACACAAGGACTGAACCTCTGCAAACATCTGGTTAATGAAGAGCTGCAGCACCATCCCAGACTGCAACAAGACTGAGTGTCCTCCTCACTGAAAATTTCTAAAACGAGCAAAATGATGTTTGGGGACAGCTTAGTTCCTGGTGGTAAAATTCAGTCAAAATAATAAAAACCCTAGGAAAGCAGCAGCAAGCACAGAGATCCAGGTGTCCCAGTGTACGGTAAGAAATAACTTCTAAAACTTCGCAGTGGTTCACACATTAGTGATTCATCTTATAATTCAAACCCCTCCCCTACCCCCAAGATTTTATAGCATATGCTGCCAAACTTTACCAAAGCTGTGTTCTTAAAATGGGCTTCCCAGGTGGCTCAGTGGTAAAGAATCTGCTGGCCAATGCAGGAGATGCAGGTTTGATCCCTGGGTTGGGAATATACCCTGGAGAAGGAAATGGCAACCCACTCCAGTATTCTTGCCTGGGAAATCCCAAGGAGAGGGGAGCTTTGTGGGCTACCATCCATGGGGTCGCAAAGAGTTAGACATGACTGAGCAACTGAGCACATTTTAAAAATACTAGCACTATCTTTTAATAAATAATAGATACGCTTACAATGAACAATCAAGAGATTTTCTCTTTTAAACTTAAATTAGAAAATAAAAAAAACCCCTTACCTGTCCGTGTGGTTCCTCCTCCCGGAGGAGCCTTAGCTGCCATGTCATCCCATCTCAGACTTGCCCACAGTAACCGTAACATGAGACTCACTCCAGCTAAGGACTTCACAGTCTGAAGCCTATACCTGAAAGAAAAACCCAGAAAAACCATGTATGTATATAAACACACATACACACACTGTGTTAAACTGAAGGACTGCTTTTTGTCCTCATTGTGACTTCAATATTTATAATATGGCTTTGTAAGCGCTTTGGTTATTATGTGTCCCTTAAGAAAATAACTTTTTTATTCCCAGGCATAACATGCATCTAACAATTTAAAAGGGGGTTGCAGTCACCTCAAATGCTGTATAAATTTGTAAAACAAGAATATTTCATTGTAAGATTGATATGGCAATAAGTTATACAGATTTTATAAACTTAGCCTAATTCTAAACTATGTGTTAGAAAAATTATGAGAGAAAATAAACATGAAGAAATAATGTCATAGTATGGTAAGTGATCTGAAGGATAAAATCTTGACTGATTTTTGCTGAAACAAATCTGAAAATGTTTAATTTTCTCAAAAAACAAAACAAAAACAAAAAGACCTCATAAATCCAACAAGAGCTTTCCAGATGGACCGAAATTCTGTATTCAAATGGTGATTCTGCAAAACATGGAACTACTGAATGATAAATACTGCTAAAACTAATATCACTTTAGCAACATTAATATGGTTTTGGAATTCTTTGATACAATGAATAATTTAAAAAAAGGACGTTACTGTATTTATTACTAGTCAGGAGACAAAGGAATCTCTGTGTTCAGGTTTCTCCTAAGCACTATATACAACGTTATTGAACACATTAGATATTATTTTAAAGACAGTATTAAAAATGCATTCCAGAATGAATTTACAACTGCAATGAGTATCATGTCTTAAAGACAGAGTATTTTAAAGCAGCTCTAGGCTGTCAATTCTCTATTAGCGGTTTTATATAATTAAGTATTTAACTGACATTTCCGCATACCAAAATGAATACACTGATTGTACTGCAGAGAAGAACTATGGAATGAAATTAATTTCCTCCTCTAACGGAGGTACAGGTAAATCTTAAACAATTTGTATTTGAAAAGCAGTGCTTTCCATTCTTAATGTTAAGTCAGAAAAATGAACAATGTGAGAAAGAAAAAGCTCTAGCCAAAAAGTTGCTGCCACTTCTTAACTTGCCCTCTCCACCTACAGTCCTCCTCCCTGTACTATCAGCGTGTGAACCTTCTGACTTGTACAGACAGTTCTTAAATTAGAGGAAATATTAAGTAGCGCAGGGCAGGCAAGGGGGCATGTGTTGCTTTCAGACCACACCCCCTACAGAGATGCCTAGGGAACCTTGGACTCATGGGAGCAATCAAATATTTATTTGGAGGTTTTTCTCCTCCTCTCTCTTCTTCCTCTGCTCACTCTCAACAAACAACTTGAAAGTATCTCTGGTTTTACAATGGAAACACCACCAGGTGGGGAACACATCCATGCATTAGAGCCTGTTCATTCATTTATACACCCAAAAAACACTTGAGTGTCATCTATGTGTTCAACTAAGTGAAAGGAGCTGGGGACACATGAATTTTAATCTCTTCCTACATCCTCAGAAGCTGTTAACAGAGGAAAGCACAATGAAGCGGTTATCAGATTTGGATCAGGGATGGGGATGAGAGCTTCGCTGGAGTCTCAAAGACAAGGGTGTGGGGGCAGCTGACCAAAGGCAAGGGGGCACACACATGCTTAGGAGGAATGTGTACGAGGGCTCACACTTCTTCCTAGAAACCACATCTGGTGTGCTAGGACTGGAGGGAAGGGGTGTGGAGGTGTAGCAAGAGATGGAGCTGGCATCAGAGAGGAAGGCGGAAACCAGAATGTGCTACACCAAACAGAAGAATTAAAGGACATCAGAGATCATCTGTAAGGAGATCTCTAAAATGTACATAGTTCTGCACAGGTTGTAAAGGGGAGTACAGGTGACAAACACTCTCCCCCTCCCAGCCCTGCGGTAGTTAACATGTCCTCTTGATTTTTTAAGTTTTTTGGCCGCACTGTGCAGCATGTGGGATCTTAGTTCCCTGACCAGGTATGGAACCCATGTCCCCTGCAGTGCAAATGGGGAGTCTTAACCACTGAGCCACCAGGAAGTCCTAACACACCTGCCTGCTCAGCTTAGTCAGAAAAATCACAGGATAGATTTGTGTTTTAGAAGGATCCTTCTAATAGCACTGTGGGTTCAAAGTGATCATGATGCATAGAATCAGGGCCTAGGGAAAAGTGTGTACGGGAATGGACAGTGTAGAGGGAAAAAAAAGGCCCTAATGAGTCAATGAGACAAGTTTCACTTTTTCAATATTGATCAGCCTTAACATTAAATTTAATAAAGACCAAACATGCGTGCCTTTGGCATTCTTAGCTCCTACTCTAAGCATCAGACATATTTTTATTCAAGTGTGAGTAGAAAAATGCATTTCACATGCATGGTTTTTATAGCAATATATTTTTTTAAAAAAAGCATTCTGAAGTCAAAAATAATTACATTTTTACCCATGCCTCTGTTAGGTAAAAGGGATTGTGGTTCTCTCAACCTCAGCAAATTAAGACATTAGCATATATCTGAAGGCAATACCTGTTTCAAATGTACAGGAAGGTATTTCCATCCATTGAAAAATGAGAAATGAACTAAACAGATACAAACTGTGCCCCCAGTGCATATTAAAACATAACAGTACAAGGCTTCTGACACCCAGCCGTGCAGAGGGGCCCTGGGCAACATGGGAACAGCACTGGTTCAGAGAACAGTGCTTCCCAGTCAGGCCTACCTTCCATTTCAGAATAGAAAAGAGCAGAAAGGTCGGCCTCCACAAGTGCCAGGCCACTTTAATTAAAGTATTTGTACACAGTAACTTTTCCAGTGGGAAAGAAGTTACCTGCAGGACAGTCAAGGATACATTTGGGGACCGCTCTCAATGAAGAAAGCAGAAAAGTGCAGAATAATCCTACAAATCCATGAACTGTAATGAAGAGTTCCTTGATTCCCTGCAGGATTCTGCAAATCCTTCATTGCAGGCCCTGCAGAGAAATTGTACTTTTCAGCTGTCTCTATTGAATGTGTAATGGAGTGATGATATGTAATTCAAATCAAAAGATGAGTTATTAAAAAAACTTGGTCAAACCAACTATGACTGGTCATATTAATTCCTTCATAGAGAGTATTCATTAGTCTTTTTTTATGCTAACTGTAATATAAAGAAAACTGAAAAAGTATGATTTCAACTTAAAGAAACCACATTAAAGACACAAAGACATGAAGCCTAAAGTGAAATGGAGTCTGCTCAGGAACTTGCTGACGTCATGAACTTCGGGACCTTAGGCGAAAATGAACTCAAATAAGACCGTTTCTGGTTTCTGAGCCTGTCCCATAGAACTCCCTGTTTTTGATGTTCATGTTCCATCCTTTTCAGATGTAAAGATGAAGAGATAAAAAGACAAGGCCATGGAAAAGGACAAAGCAAGGGGCAGATATGTGAAACTGGCACAGCAGATAAAGGACTGGACTGAGATTCAGGAAAACTAGGCACTGCGCCTAACTCCCTCTGTGGCGAGAGGCAAGTTAGTTACTACATGTCGAAAAAAAGATCCAAATTTCTAAGATCCTTCCCCAATTTAAAACTACATGATTTTACAACTGCCAACTCTATGTACTTATGACTCATCCCCAAAGCTTAATGCCCAGAAAATTTTAAATTAAGACTATTTCTGGGTTTAAAGAAACTCGTTAAGGAATCTCAGATTACCTTTCCTCACAAAAATAACACAGAACTCCAAAACAAATGTTTACATTGCAAATAAGTTACATTCAGGAAGATTTCTACATTATGATGAACCTGTGTGAGTCATAGGGATGTCTCCTATGTCTTCTGTTTTTATGAATTATCTAATAAAAATATTTAATAAAATACAAACATTCCAGAACGTTGATGAGTATCTAATTCTGTGATTATTTCATTCCCAAAGCAAACACATGGCAAAACCTGGAAGGTTAGACCACAAAAACAACTATGTTTGACACATTTCTTGTGTCTTATGAAAAGTGAAGTTGAGTTTCATTTTAAAAGATTCCCTTACATTTGCAGTCTTTAAACATTTTTTTCCCTAAGCAAGCTTTAGTACCTACCAGCTGGCCGAGTTAAAAACTCTGTATCTTATTTCCAATACTAACATGCCCATTAAATATATACTTCCCTGTCTTGTTTCTATTATCTCATAAATGAGATATTCTTATTAAACAATTTTTCAGAGACTTTCTCCCTCCCCCAAATGCATTTGAAAGTACATACCTCCAAGTGATACCAAAGGTTGGTCTAGGAGAAGGATATGGCCATATATCCAAGGCAGGTTTTGCATTGTAATTAAAATAAGGGACTTCTCGGATTCCTCCTTTTCTGGCCAATTTTTTTAGGTCATCATTGGGCAAAACAAATATGCTCTTCTTGCTGCTCTTGGTGATAAACTTTCTGTATGATGGAAGAGCTGTACCCGAACGAGTCTTCTTGGGTCTTGAAAACTTCATGAGTTTCACTTTGTCTCTGGTGGAATATTCCTTGCTCACGGTCATAGACGTTACCAGGGTGCCTCCTGCGGTGGTCAGCGAGTCGGTCACTGTTGTGGTGACCACAGTTCTGCTCTGCTCCTTCACAGAGATGATGTCCACCTCACTGCCTGCAGAGGGCGTGGAGAGCTTGGTCACTGTTGTCGTGGTGGTCATGACGGTCGACTTGGCGCAGTTTTCCGTGGAAGAGACCACGGTCTGCTTATCACCCTTTGCTACCTTAATTACGGTTTTTGATTCTGTGGCCACTGTGGATGTCGTGGTGGTGACTTCTGTGATGACTGTTTTTCTTCTAGGTTCTCCATTGACATTTTCATCTTTGTTGGTGGACAGGCCATTTTCATCAATAAAATCATTACTGAGGTTAGATTCCTCTCCAGAAGTAATAGGGGACGAAGTAACTTTCTTAACTTTGGAGGTGTCAATTTCCATATCTTCTACCTGATTGCATGAACTGCCTTCTGGACAAGACAGCAGAGGCATGGTGGCCTGGGCGCTCTCAGACTCTTCGGTTGATGGCAGTGTCTCCAGGCTATCATGGTAGTCACCTTCAGCATCCGAAGACCTCAGTAAATGTGATTTTGTTTCCAAGTTGTTTTTTTCATTAAAATCTTCCATGATGACATCACCATTCATGAATGGTTTTACAGCAGATTCTTTAACAGTCAAAGGCTTGATATCGTTTTCAGGAATAATTTTATTTATATTATTAACCTTTGGTTCAACATCACCACTTCCTATTTTATTCTCAGAGATGTCTCTCAAGCATTCACCTTTCAAATATACTTTAGGTTTATTATCTTTTCCATTTATTTGAAAGGTACCTGCTTTCTGTCCTTTCTTTTCAGACTCTCGGTTTTCATTATTCTTTTTATCAGTGACACTTTTCAGACTGTTTTGATCAATACATTTATTAAGTGGTCTCTCCTCTAATTTCTGATCTTGACTTCGCTTTCTACCATTTGCATCATTTACCTTACCCTGCAGCCTGTCATCACAGCTTCCAGTAGTATTATCTGAAACAAATTCACGTTTCAGTGGTTCAAAGCCTTCACTACCTTGTTCTTGAGTTATTAACTGTTCAGAAATACTTTCATTGCTATTTTGAACAATCATATCTTCTTCACTGCTGTCCTGAACAGACATAGTATCAGAACTATTTTCCAAAGTGCTATTATATTCAGAGTCACATCCCAGTTTTCCTTCAAAGTCTATTGCTTTTGACAGAGATGGGATATCTCTATCATCACTACTTTTAGGTACTGATGGAAGCAAAGGGCTCTGGGAGGGACACACAGTGGTGTCATTATCGTCCTGTATGAATGGTTTTCTGTTCTTATAGATCAAAGTACCAATTTCATCTGTGCTGGCTAGTTTAGAGTCATCAATGAGAAAATCAGTTCCTTTTGTTTTAATCTTACTGGGCTCCTGGCCTTCACTGGCAGGGTCAGAGAGACCCTCATCCATGTCATTTCGAATAGAATTTTGTTTTTGACAGTGTGTCTCTGTGCTCTGAATGGAGACATCCTCTAACATTTGATCTTTTGAATAAAGTTTGTTTGCTGTATGATCAGGGTCACTGATTCCAAGAATTGAGGAATCACTCTGTGAATATCCCTGAATTGAGTCTTCGGATTTATCGTTACTTGTGTTAGAGCTCTGTTCTTGTGTAATCAAGTCACTCTGACATCCTTCTTTTACTTTCGTTATGACTGGTGACTCAGACAGACTTTTCACAGAACTTGTAGGGGTCTTTCCCGAACCTTTAATACCACCCTCCAACTTCATTTTTTCGTGGCGTTGTTTTTCTTCCAGTGTAAACTGTTTAATTCTCCTTTCCAGAAGTCCATCTAGTTTGGATGATTTGATTTTCTTTTTATAACTAGTCCTTAGATGAAAACCCTCACTGACATTGACCACATCTACTTGAGAGCTTTCCTGACAATTTACATGGGACTCTGTTTTCACATCATCATCTATTTCCATTGGTTCTTCTTTAAAGGATTTATCATTGTCAGAATCTAAAACTTCTTTTACATCTGTGAAACAAAGACATTGATACAAATGTAGTTTTTAGTCTGAAATGTGAAATTCATGATAATATTTTTATTTAAAAAAAAATACCAGTTTTTCTTACTTTTATTCAAAATCTTAACTATAAATAGCTATATATTTAAAAGTTCCTGATATGATTAAAATAGGTCAACGGACAGGGCTAAACTTTATAAAAGGTTAAAAACCACATACATACCAAATATTTAAATATTCTGATTCTCAGTATCTAAAAATGATGGAATGTCACAATGAAAAATTAGTACGTGATATCTATTGCATATACCAGTACCTTCACGTAAGATTTCATTTATTTTAGGCTTATAAAACATCTTGAGGCTTATGCATTATCCAACTCATCTAGTTTTTAAAAACAACTTCACAAAAGACAAGGTAAATTCCTCAAAAGGCTGAACAGAGTTATCTTTGATTCAGCAATCCACCCCTACATATTTACCCAAGAGAAATGAAAACATATGTTCACAAAAGAACTTCTATACAAATGTTCTTATTACCATTATTCTTAACAGCCAAAAAGAAAAACCAACAACCCAGAAGTTCATCAACTGATGAATGGATAAACAAAACATGACGTATTCATACAATAGAGTATTACTTCTAAATAAAAAGGAATGAACTACTGATAAAAATATATGCCACAACATGGAAGAACTTTGAAAATATGCTAAGTGAAAGAAGCCAGACACAAAGGACCACAAACTACCTGATTCCATTTATATGAAATGTCCAGAATAGGCAAATCCATAAAGACAGAAAATAGATTGGGATTTAGGGAAGAAAGGGGACCAACTGCTAGTGGATATGAGGTTGTTGTCTGGGGTGATAAGAACCCTCTAAAATTGAGTGTGGTGACTGCTGAACAATTCTGTGAACTGTACACTCTAAGTGGGTGAACTATATGGCATATGAATCATGTTTCAATAATGCTGTTATTGAAAAGAGACAAAGCAGTACCTTTCCTGCTGTGCCAACTAGATCCAGTGCTTTCTTAACACCCCAGGTGCCCTCCACACTTGACTCCTTACCTTGATCCTTCTTCTCAGTAACCTTTGAAATGTCCATTTCACTTTGGTCTGATCCTTTTGCAGCATCAGAGTCTTTTACCTCGCCTTTCTCAGAATCTGGTTCTGTTTTTATCTTTTTTGGACTTCGTGGACTTTTCCTTCTATCCGATTCATCCATATTTTCATCCATGTTATTTTTAACTAAAAAGAACCAAGTACATAGTAATTACAAGTATGTCAAATATTAGCAATTTACTTTAATACACCTGGTTTAGTGGAATTTATGAAGTATATTCCAGCAATTTATACCTTATTTTTAATTCACAAAACAAAAATTGAATATACTACATACTTTCTTATATGCTCAGCTGACTTAAACCATAGAAGTAATGACTACACTTTGGATGCACTTCAGGAATCTTCACATAGGAAACTTTCACCCTCTTCACTGACCCCAGAAAGTCTGCATCAGTGGTTGCTAACATACTTTGTATTACAGAACCATATCAGAACTGGATTAATGCTATGATTCCCTATCTAGAAAAAAGGACATACAGAAACTTTTGTAATAAATTTCAATGGATTCTTATATAGAATTGAAGTTTATCTGTGGACTCCCAGGTTAAGAATATTTAAGTCTGTGTCACTGGAAAGAGAAATAACCAAATGCAAAGTGTGGCTTTGTTTGGATCTGATTTACTACTAGTTTTTTCCCCTGCTAGCAACTGGGAAGAAAAGACTCAAAAGATGCTCCAAGACCAACGTGGTACCTGCTGGATAAAGGCCCAGCATTAGGACAATAGAAAACCCCACGCTAAGGAAAGTGGATACAAAATAAATTTGCAAAAGCCTAAATGCTTTGTATATTGATAATCTGGATTTTATTACATTGGACAAAGCAGGTCAGACACAAGTAAAAGCTCTCCATAATTCTAAGTGCTACACAATAACTAGAGCAATGAAATGATAATAAAAAAATTAAAAATAATCTTTTGGAAGTCATTATAATGGACATTGAGCTTGAATATAATCAGATAAGTAAGTGAATACTTAATATTTCTATTTAGCAAATAGTTACTGAGCATCTACTAAAGGTAATTCAATGACAACTTTAATAGTGTCAAAAATCTACTAGTCTAGGTTTCACGAGAACCATTCACAAGTAAACCAAATTAGTTAGCTAAGTGTGTACTTATTTGGCCTACAACACAAATTTCACAACAAAGACCATACCACACCATAAATCACCAAATTATACTGCAGAGCAAACAGAACTGCTTTTGAAAATCACTTAGAAAACAAAGGAGACGACAAGGTAGAATGCAAAAAGGGGAGTGGAAGCCAGGAGACAGGTTTTAGCCAGGATTCTATTATTCTTCATCTGTGTGAGCTTCAGTATGTCCCTTAACATCTTCATGAAATAATTTGTTCATGTAACATGAGTTTCAAAATATATGGTCTCCTAAAAGGACAGTTTACCTCTAGAGTTCTGTGATTCTAAATACTGAAGTCATCAGCCAGTGGCACAAACTGAATTAGTATCTCCTTTACATGACAGTGTTATGGAAGTCTCTGTTGCTTTATTTCTGGTTTTGTTATATGTTACAATGCTGAAGTCACCAAATATTTGAGTCCTCAAGAAGTTAAGTAGTACTGAATTTAAGATTTCAGAAAGACTAATTAAGTAGCTGAGGTCTTCTTTCTTTCAACAAGTTCTATTCTCTCACCTTTTTAAGCTAGAATCCTAAGTATCAAAATCTAGTGAATAAAGGTAATTTTAAAAATATGAGAGCTTGTTAAACTACATTAGTAATTTTTTACATTCTAGAAAGAATTTCAGAAAAACTTTTATCTAAAATATTGTCAATATACTACAAATTTGTAAGAATACAGATCAGAAACAATTATGCAGGAAAATAGCTTCAATTACTTACCTCCTTCTACTGACTTTCTGTAATGCACATTGGTATTGCCTGGCAATTTAGGAACAAACCTATAAACATGAGTTTTACTAATCCAGCTCCAACCACCGTATCCTGTTACTCGGTATTCCTCTCCTTTTTGTTTCCAAACCTGGTGTAAATAAAAACATGGTGATTAAACAAGAATGAGAATGCTTTATAAAGCATGTGTGGTTTTATATATTTTTATCAAATAAAATCAACAGTCAGGCAAATTAATTTGCCAGTCAATTTTATTTTCACCCAGAATCAAAGATTTCTGAAGAAACTTAAATATTCCTGTCTGACACAAAAAAATGTAAAAAACAATTTTACATTTTGTAACAATTTCTACAAACTGGTCTGATGACTCACATATATTTTACTAAAAACCTATGCTTATAAAATTGCTAAAAGATTTACTTCATTCAAACCATGTTAATTAAGAGTGTATCAAAAGTGAAATAAAATTACTAAGTATTCAAAGTTGCAGAATCAAAGTCTCACAAATGTCTAACACTTTTTAATAAGATCATACTAAAAATTACCTGATGTTTAACTGGAAATGTGTATTTTACCCATGTAGCTTGTTGCATTGTTTCTTCCTCTTCTTGTTTTTTCTCCTTTTTTTTGACTTTCTCCTTTTCTTCTCTTTCAATTGATGTCATTCTATGTAACCTAATAATATGTGAATAGAAAGACAGAATTACATTTAAAAAATAAAGATAAAAATACAGTACTGAAGATTAGGAAGGTAAAAGCAAAGAATGATTATAATTCCACAACCCAGAAAACTGAAAAGTCACAAAAATAAGCAGATATATAATTATGTAATAGCAGAAAATCAAACAGTACAAAAAGGCAAAAATAAAACATGCTGTCCTTCCTATATGCCTCTCCATAAGAAATAACTCACTTATGACTTATTTCACACATATACCAATGTTATAATCACACAAAGGATGTTATATACAAATACAATTGTACAGTTTTTAATCAACGGAAAACTGCACTAGATCTTTCCAAACTCTAAGATACATTATCGTCTTGCCTCCCCACCAAAAGGTCAACAAGTCCCAAAACTTTTATCAACCAACATTTCTATTTAGCACTTGGGGCTGTAGAGTCTTCACAGGGTCCACTAACATAGAATTTCGGCTTCCTATAAGCAGAGGGACAGGGACCCTGCATTTGGGTGACTGGAAAGGTTGGGCAGGAAGGACCACGTTAATCAGGCAATAATCATCAGGCATACAACAGAGACCATGCTCTTTTTTCAGGCAGGAAATCAGATACCACTGCACCTATCTGTAAGGAGATGGGTGAGTCTGTGATGAGGTTTCACTTTAAGCTGACTACACCAGATTTCTGTGAATGGGAGTATTTCCCATAAAAAAGAACATTAACCAAAATCTACAAAGGAGCTCCTGTCTCTAAAAGCCCTAGTGTAGAAGAATTGTTTTTATCATACCCTACTCAAGAAGTAGCTAATTTCAAATGCACAGCTATATGGAAAGAAGAGCGAGCTCTTTTGCTAACTGAGGGAGCGGTAGATGCTACAAAGATGTGAGAGGGGATTTAGTTCTTTTATATTTTTCCACCCTTCCACCAAAAACCTTCTATCTCCACTTTGAAACAAGTTTCATGTCCCTATGACTACAGGACCCTAGAATCCGTTAAGTGCACACAACTAGTACAGCAAAGATTCTTCACTCTATCACAAATGACAGGAGAAGAGGAAAGGGAGGAAATTCTCACTGGGGACTAACCTAGTCTCAAATACCATAGATTTGCAGCCACTCTTGGAACCAGGGAGTGGGGCAAGCTCTGTAGGCACAGCTTGGTGGAAAACCTGACAGCCTCAGCTCCCCAGACTACAGAAGGGACTGTGCCACAGTCAAGCAGTATTTCTTAACAGGGATTTTGCGGGCTCAGCTTTAAACTCCTAGGAAAGGCCAGGTCTGGCACAGCAACTGAGCCATCTTCATGGACAGTGGCCAGAGATGAAGCACTGTCTGGGGAGAACACCAGTGCACGGACACTCTGGGAACACACCTGGCACTCAGCCTGTGCTTCTGGGGTTCATGTGAGGAACAGGGCCATCTTCATCACCAAAGACAAATGCTTTTCTTCGCTGGGGATGCCAGGCCAGTGAGGTAGTATTATAGCTAACCTACGATTTCCCTCTACCAGAGCAGATTCTACTGTTCTCAACACCTCTGAGATAATCCTCATGGGAAAAAGCAGCAAGAAAGGTGAGCTATGAAGGGGTTCACTTGCTCGTGGCAGGGCAGAAACCCTGGCTACTGCTGGCAGCCTGGTGGCCCCAGGAGGCTGGCACTATGAGCCTCCACAGGCTGCTCCACACTGGAGGGCACACTGGGGACAGCGGCTTCCTCCATACGTCCTCGGCTCACCAAGTGCGAGACGAGCTTCCACTCTATTCCCCATGTCCACGGGGCTTTGCTGTGCTCGTCTTCCTATCTCTTCGTAAACATGAGGAGTAACCCCTTCTGTTTCCCACTGGTAGGAGGGCTGAGTCCAAAGAGTATAGTATTTAAAATGCTGACAGTGCCCAGCTGCTCTGCAGAATGATACACGTCACACTGCCACCAGTTACAGTTCCCCTGCTTTCCCACGCCTTCACTCAAGCCAGCACCAAATTTCTAAATTATTAGCCCCACTGAGAGAGAAGAAATACTATTCCATTGTTTTTATTTACATTTAATTATGAGAGAAGTAACCACTTTTTTTAAAAATGTCTACTGGCCTTTCACATTTATTTTGCTGCCAAATGCCTGTTCAAATCCTATGTCTTGTCAGTAATGGATATTTCATTTATAAAAGGTCTTTTTCATTTTAAAGGAAAGTTTCCATTTGTGGTGCAAATATTTTTCCTCAGTGTGTCAGCTGTCTTTTGAGTTTGATTATATTATTTTTCCACTGAGAATTTTAAATACATATATCCACTTTTTTCATCAATGGCATCTGGGTTTTATATCTGTTTGAAAAGAAAGTATCACAATAAAAATATAAATTAATCCATGCTCTCTTATTTAAGCTTTTTGTTACTGTTTTTAACAGTATGTTGTTTTTCTTTTCAATCCTCATTTGTCTGATGAATGCTTTTGCTGAAGTAGAGATCTGGATGATATTTTCCCCAAAAACGCCCTCTTTCCTTGTCTGACAGGAAAAGTTATCACAGTAGATTTCCACAGGTGTTTAGGTTTATTTCTGCATTCTCTGTTTGATTCCATTGCTCTACTTTTTCTCTAAGACAAAGTATTTTGACTATTGTAGCTTCAAAACACATTCTAAATATCTATTCCATTTTCTGTAATACCTGTTTTCCTTTTCTTACACATTAATTTTTCTAGAGGAAATAGTATCATTTTGGTCAAGTCTCCTTCACCCTCCAAAGGGAAAACTATTCACATTGCAAATGAATATTAAATTTGATAGATTAAATTAGCATAATTAGTATACTGCATGGAAGCATATGATGTATCTTTCCATTTACTCAAAGTATATCCTTTATCTTTTCTTTCTGGCGGGGTGGGGGTGGGCGGAGGTGGGGGTGCTACCGCTATGTGACATGTGGACCCTAGTTCCCCAACCAGGGACTGAACCCACCATGGAAGTGTGAAGTCTTAACAGCTGGACTGCTGAGGAGTCCCAAGGTAGCTTTTATATCTTTAGTAAAGTTTAAATGATTTCTTTACATGCTCCTGAATTAAATTTATTCCTGGTTTGAAGTATTGTGTTATTGCTGGATATTTTCTTCATTATAATCTTTAAAAACACGTAAACTGTAACCAGGTTAAGAAACACACCCTTATCAATAACCACTACATCCAAAGCTAGAATGTCCCACCCCAGGCAGTCATTATGCTGACTTCTGTGCTGTGCTATCATTTCCTTGCTTTTCTTCATAGTTTTACCAGCACCTACATGTGTGTCCTGAAAACCCAGAAGCAAGAATAAAACCTGCTGCATGAGCAAAAGCAATACTGTCACTATTAAAAAAAGCATCCCAGGAAAAAATAAACTTGTCTCCGGGTCACAGTTCACAAGTTAAGAGCTTCTTGTGATGCAATCACAGGGTGGGGCCATCAGCAAGCTCTAGAAGACTCACCACACTCAGGGAACCTGGCAGGACTGGGTGTAAACAGCTGCACTGCCCAGAAAGAATCCCAAGCAGGTTGCTCTACACTTGCTGCTTCTGTGCCTTTCAAGGGTTCTATGGTGTGACTGGTGAAAATTCTCAATTCTCCCCCACTGACTTGGGATCTGCCTTTCTTGGTTAGGGTCCCCCTTGCTCACCTGCAATATTGCTTCCACAGCTATACGGCACTGCATTCTCTGTGGTTTCCCTTGTCCCTGTTGGTTTATGCTTTGAAAAAAATCCCTTTGCCATAGCTATGGTGGTGTTCAGTAGGCAACAAAACTAAATGTGCTTTTTAATTTGTTATTTTAACTCAGAACTCCCACTGTATTTTTTTCATGGTTATTATTTGTATAAATAAATCCTATTGTAGAGTATAGGGGCCCCCTTATTTAATTTTCATATTGTTTTACAGGTTTTTAGTCAATGAAGTGTATAATTAAACCAACTTAAATAACTATCCCTGCTGCTGCTGCCGCTGCAACACGTCAGTCACGTCCGACTCTGTGCGACCCCATAGACGGCAGCACACCAGGCTCCTGTCCCTGGGATTCTCCAGGCAAGAACACTGGAGTGGGCTGCCATTTCCTTCTCCAGTGCATGAAACTGAAAAGTGAAAGTGAAGTCGCTCAGTCGTGTCCCACTGTTAGCGACCCCATGGACTGCAGCCCACCAGGCTCCTCTGTCCATGGGAGTTTCCAGGCAGGAGGACCGGAGTGGCGTGCCATTGCCGCCTCCTAACTATCCCTACATTTACCTATATATGTTTTACTTCTCTTGGCAAATTGCATTAACTAATACTTTTAGGAAAAGTTAACAGTAACAGTGGGGATTCTCTTGTTTTGTTCCACCTAAATGTTAATGGGAAAACTTCAAGAGTTCCATTAAGAAACATGATGGTATGGTTTGAAATGTATCATTACAACAAAGCAGGGTGGGTGGGGGTAGTCACTCATCTATTTCTATTTACTTAAGTATTTTTTAATACTTAATATAAGAATTAATAATGAACTCCTATCTTCTTAATAAATACCCTCCTGACATCTAAAGAGAAAATCAAAGTTTTCTTTGACTTCTTAAGATAGCAAGGTATTAATAATCTCCTAAAAACAGACAAATGTTCCATGCCTAGAGGAAGTCAATTTTGTCATGATTTATTATTCTTTTAATTTACTCCTGAGTAGATTTCCTAATGCTTTAAGATTTCCTGCATACACTTCTATTTGCTATTATTATTAGTCAATGGTAAATATTAATAAATGAGACAGGATCTAACTTTTCCATTTATTTGCCTATTTATCAAGTTATAACACTGACAGAACTAATACACAAGATTTCCTTCTTTCCCATTATATGGAGCAGTTTAAAATAGAATTATCTGTCTCCTAAAATTTGAAAAACTTCCTTATGAAATCATCTGGTCCTGCCCAAATCCTTACTCTGATAGGCACAGTGATATCCTTCAAACTAAACCAGAAATTCTTTTCGTGCCTAAGAGCACGGCCTCTGCCCTACGGCCAACGGCTGAGACCCGAGGAACTCCTCCTCCCCAACCCTTCTCCCACCCAAAACAAGGCATTCAACAGGATGCCTTCTCTACAGATGTAGGAAGCCTGAATGCTATGTCAGTGGACTCTGAAGGTTTGAAATCACCAGTATCAGTGACAGAGAATCAGAAATGTTCTGGATATTGGTTTTTTGTCCTTTGACCTCTCCCTTTTTGTTTTCACCTTACCTGATAATCTCATAGAGATCAGTAAACTGTAAAAGTATCTAAGTTATTTTTAATCCTAGGAAGAATTTAAGTCCATTCCATTTGTGTAAGCTTCTATCAGGAGCAGCAATTACATTCAAAATAGGGAGAAAGGAGAGAGGGAAAAAAGTATCTGTAAGATTTATAGGCTAGAGGGGGAGGAGTGGGGAAGACTACAGAAAACTTACAGCAACCTTTGACAGATAAAAAATATTTAGCAGGCATACTTACTTTCCTTTAAAATTTTTCATTATAAGGTAAAACAACAGCTATAAAAAGCAACACAAAATATATTTATATTTTTTTAAAAGTATAGCATTATACCTTTGGAATGGGCCCAAAGGGGCAGGGAAGGTAAGAAGAGTCTTTAGTTCAGTCAGTGGTGTCTGACTCTTTGCAACCCCATGGACTGCAGCATGCCAGGCTTCCCTGTCCATCACCAATTCCCGGAGCCTATTCAAACTCATCTCCATCGAGAAGGTGATGCCATCCAACCATCTCATCCTCTGTCATCCCCTTCTCCTCCCACCGTCAATCTTTCCCAGCATAAGAGTCTTTTCCAAGGAGTCAGTTCTTTGTATCAGGTGGCCAAAGTACTGGAGCTCCAGCTTCAGCATCAGTCCATCAATGAATATTCAGGACTGATTTCCTTTAGGATGGACTGGTTGGATTTCCTCACAGTCCAGGGGACTCTCAAGAGTCTTCTCCAACATCACAGTTCAAAAGTATCAATTCTTCACACTCAGCTTTCTTTATAGTTCAACTCTCATATCCATATATGACTACTGGAAAAATCATACCTTTGATTAAATGGACCTTTGTTGGCAAAGTAATGTCTCTGCTTTTTAATATGCTGTTTAGGTTGGTCATAACTTTTCCTCCAAGGAGCAAGCATCTTTTAATTTCATGGCTGCACTCACCATCTGTAGTGATTTTGGAGCCCACGAAAATAAAGTCTGTCACTGTTTCCACTGTTTTCCCATTTGCCATGAAGTGATGGGACCGGATGCCATGATCTTAGTTTTCTGAATGTTGAGTTTTAAGCCAACTTTTTAACTCTCCTCTCTCACTTTCATTAAGAGGCTCTTTAGTTCTTCCTTGCTTTCTGCTATAAGGGTGGTGTCATCTGCATATCTGAGGTTACTGATATTTCTCCCGGCAATCTTGATTCCAGCTTGTGCTTCATCCAGTCCAGCATTTCTCAAGATGTACTCTGAATGTAAATTAAGCAGGGTGACAACATAGCCTTGACGTACTCCTTTCCTGATCTGGAATCAGTCTGTCGTTCCATGTCCAGTTCTAACTGTTGCTTCTTGACCTGCGTACAGATTTCTCAGGAGGCAGGTAAGGTGGTCTGGTATTCCCATCTCTTGAGCAATTTTCCACAGTTTATTGTGATCCACACAGTCAAAGGCTTTGGCATGGTCACTAAAGCAGAAGTAGGTGTTTTTTTGGAACTCTCCTGCTTTTTCAATGATCCAACGGATGTTGGCAATTTGATCTCTGGTTCCTCTGCCTTTTCTAAATCCAATTTGAACCTCTGGAAGTTAATAGTTCACAAACTGTTGAAGCCTGGCTTGGAGAATTTTGAGCACTACTTTGCTAGTATATGAGATGAGTGCAACTGTGTGGCAGTTTGAGCATTCTTTGGCATTGCCTTTCTTTGGGATTGAAATGAAAACTGACCTTTTCCAATCCTATGGCCACTGCTNAATTTTTTCAATCTGGCAACTCTAAACCTGGGTCCAATCGCAAGAGGGGCTGGGAAATAAAATATCTGGCTTTCTGGCTTTTGTAATGCAAGATGGGCAAAAGAGAAACGAAAGCTTTTAGGTGATCAGCCACCTAATGTGGAGTCATCTTGATTGTGTTTGCTCTCCTGCACAGAGAATATGTTTGCATAATATCAGAAAGTTTATGAAGTCCAAAGCAGAATCAAACTATATATTTTCAACCTAGAGTTTTTTAGTTTTTTTTTTTTTTTTTTGCTGAGCCTTGGAGCGTGCAGGATCTTAATTCCCTGCAAGGGAAGCACAGTCTTACACCACTGACCCACCAGGGAAGTCCCTAAAAATATTTTTTTTACTTTAGAAAATATTATTTATTTGTATATACCTGATCTCTTCTGATCTTCATTACAATCCTATATCATAAATACTAATGTTCATTCAGAGTTATAGCTTAGAGAGGAGGAAAATGAGGTCAAGGTTGTTCAGTCACTCAGTTGTGTTCGACTCTTTGTGGTCAAGATTAGTTAAGTTTAATATGGCCTTTTAAAGACATTAACTTTCATTACTAATGGACTAATACTCCAAAAGGGAGTCTAACACACTATTCATAAGGCTCAGGATTCACTTACCTGGTATGTCCTAAAGATTCCCGCCATATTGGCAGCATCACAACTGGCTTAACCGCACACTCCAAAATAGCTAAAGCCAATGCAAATTCTCTGGGTTTGCTACACATCTGAACAGCCTTGATCCAATTTGCCCTATATTTCAGAAGTGGCGGGCGGGGGGGGAAGGAAAAAACAAAATTTCATCTTGTTGATCTTAAATTAAAAGCACAAGAGTAGTAATTTATGACAACTTTACCTTATAAGGCATGTCAAAGTGTTAGTTGCTCAGTCACGTCCAACTCTTTGTGACCCCATGGACTGTAGCCTTCCAGGCTCCTTTGTCCATGGGATTATCCAGGGGAGCCCCTGGTGGCTCAGCCAGTAAAGAATCTGCCTGCAATGCAGGAGACTTGGGTTCAGTCCCTGGGTTGGGAAGATCCTCTGGAGAAGGGAGTAACTAACCACTCCAGTATTTTCGCCTGGAAAATCCATGGACAGAGGAGACTGGCAGACTACAGTCTATGGGGCCACACAGAGTCAGACATGACTGAATGACTAAGCATGTATATAAGGCATATGTTTCTAGGCTAATCAAGTACAAAATACACTGCTACTGGAAGTTTCTACCTCACAGAATCACAGATTTTGAACACTGGAGGAATCTCAGAGGTCAGTTAGTCCTCCAAATCCTTACAGCTTCTATGATGTCCCAAATTTGTTGGGATTCTATTTGGTTCCAGGACTAAAGATTGCTTTCCAGAAATCTTCCAAATGTCAGTGTTGGTTCATTAACTTTATATTTTAAATTAATCAATTAATTAATCAATTTACTGGTCATACCAGACAGCATGCAGGATAGATCCCTGACCAGGAACTGAATCCACGCCCTTAGAAGCATGGAGTCTTAATCACTGAACTGCCAGGGAAGTCTTGGTTCAGTAACTATAGAAGTACACTCATATTTGTAACATCCTCAGTGTTTTGCTGACTAAACTGATGTCATTCAATTCATTTGTAATGACAGTTTAGGGATTTCCCTAGTGGTCCAGTAGCCAAGACTTTATGCTCGAAATCCAAGGGGCTTGAGTTCCATTCCTGGTCAGGGAACCAGATCCTACATGCCACGACTAAAGATCCTGCTTGCCACAGTGAAGACCTGGTGTAGCCAATTTTTTTTTAATATTTATTTTAAATTTTAATATGTTTTTTAAAATGACAGTTTAAAGTGTGCAACTGCAATAATCATTTTATAAATATTTACTATAGTCACAGCAACAAACAAACCTTGGTTTCCTTTACCTGTGCGAAGCCCAATTGGGATGAAGAAAGGAGGAAGGGATATTGTTTTCCAACTGGGTGATAGTCAGTCTCAGAGTAGATATGGTAAGAACTTTGGACCCATGGACAGAACCATTCCATTTGAACTCTCCAGCTGGAGTCAGGCAGAATTTATGTGCAAGATGTCTTCTCTTATCATGGTCTTCTCTGTGCTGATGCTTATTCAAAGCAAATGAATTGGTGGAGTACTGATTGTGGTAGACGCGATACTTCCCCTCTTGACCCAACTTAAAATAATTGTTGATGTTTCCCTTCATGACCACCTCCTTTTTGGTGCTCAACCGTGAAATTTCTCCTTGAGAGTTAACTACCAGTACCTGGCCAAGAAAATAAAAAAAGACTCCATTTTTTTGTGTCAAATGCATAAATCTGATCAATTGTCTTTCAACAGTTTTTAATTTATCATTCAAAGTAAGTTAAAATACATCTTATGACTACACTTTTGAAGTTAAAAGCTCAGTTATAAGCTAAAGCTAAACTATTTATCATTAAACAACCAAGATGTGCCTGCAAAAAGAAAAAAACTTAAGCTTTTATTAAAGTGCCTGTTATATGTTGGACATTAGTAAGTACTTTTATATATCTCAAATATACAACTGAAACCAAATGTGTGATATATAAATCATTCAACAATCATTATCTCAAGCTTACAATATATAGGGGTTAGGGTTAAGCATGAGGGCATTACATGTACTATTCCCCTCCAAAATACATTCCTAAAAATATATTTTATTCTGCTCCTTTTATCATTCCAGCTTTAGATAAGAGCCCATAGATATATTAAAACAGTGTTTCAAATAGTTGGTTCCAACCCTTTAGTGGCCTATGAAATCAATAGTGGGCCTTATCCAGCTTTTAAAAAAAAATGAACTATAATACAATAGACTAGAAAAGAAAATACTAGAGCGCTTCCTACACAGTAAGGTAAAATACTCTTTCAGGAAACTTTTAAATATATGTACTGGGTTGCTCAGGGCTTCCCCAGTGGCTCAGCAGTAAAGAACCTACCTGCAATGCAGGAGACACAGGTTCAATCCCTGAAGGAGGAGGAAATGGCAACCCACTCTAGTATTCTTTGCAGAACAAACTCATTGACAGAGGGGCCTGGTGGGCTACAGTCCACGGGATCGTAAAGAGTTGGACCCAAATGAGCATGCATGTGCACACTGGGCTATGAACAATGTCTTACCGAGGCTCAGAGTGAAAAGTAGCCTGAAAACCTCTGCTTTAAAGCCTTTTCGATGATGTTACAAACACTGCATATTCTTGCAAATATCTACCCTGCAAATAATTCTCAAATCTGAAAGACACAACTGTGACCCTTATTCAATCACCATGGCTGGCTGGGGGACAGAAATACTGAGTCTTAGCTTCAATTTTTTATTCAAAATCAGGATTAAGACGATGTTCTACATACTACTGTCTGTTGTCAACAGGTTAAGTCCCACCCTTTAGTTGCAGGTTCACCTAAAATGACTAGAGTCAGATCTGAGCATTAAACCTTTAATAAAGCTCACAAAGAGCCTACCTGCTCCCATATGTGAAAAAGAAGCCTCTATCTCTTTATAACTGCATATACTAAAACCAACCATATATAAGAAAGTATACTATCAATTATCCATGTTCAGCATTTCTAGGCATGGATTGAAACTGGGGTGTACATTTATCATAATATAAACCTAACACTTTTAATCTTCTTACACACTTACACTCTCCAAGTGAGGAAAATACAGCTCAAAAATATATGTCTGCAAACATCCTGCCTCTATTTTAAAAATTATTTTATATTCCAGAGATGTTTGTTTTAAACAGAAAGAACACACCTCTTTCCCCTCCTTAAACAATTTATTTGCTTCATGGGCTGCGGCGGCCACCTGCTGGCTCTTCAGCTGACTCAGTTTGCTGTCTGGGTTCCGTAACCTGGTGATAATCCGAGTTGAACCAGATGCTCCTCTTCCTCCTCCAGGAGACTCACTGACTTCCCCATTAGACTTCTCTGATTTGAAATCACCTGTTATCAAACGAAAAGCCAAAAGTAATTGCTAATAGTAAGTAGACTATATATAATAAGTAATAATATCTTACTAATCCAAATATTCTATCTGGTAGACAACTAAGAGCCAGAAAACAAACAGAAGAAGTTCTTGAATAGCCAAATGGATTAATTCTTCAAAGTTTTACTCCAAAGAAAGTATGTCAGAACTTCACTATGAGTCATTATTTTACAGAAAATTCAAACATGCCAGGTTATCTGTTGTAAAGCTCATCTATCAGAAAGGGGGAAGGGCTGCTACAGGTTAACAAGGAACAAACATAACTCGAAATGCAAACTAATAAAATATTGCCTTATATATTCAATGTGGATTTCTGTATTAAAAGGATATAATTAATTTTAGAAATATTTCCACTGAAAGTCTGTTCAAATACCTAACCGTTTAAAGCTTATAAACATAAAGTGCATTTTCTCCTAAGGAATCTAGGTAATTGTCTGTGTTTGCAGACAATGTACATGTGAAAATCAACTGCATTAGTTTTTTTTAAATATAGTAAAGGCCTCTCATATTTTCATAACATCAATTTTTTAAAGTGATGGATTTAATCGCCAAGGAGCAACTTCTGCTCTTAAATGAATCTCACTTCAGCTGAAAATTTCTGTATATTCTAAAACTATTGCATCACCATCTGATTTCCATTGGCCAGATAGTTAAACAAGACCTCATTTTCCTTTTTCAGTTTTCAAAAACTAAGGGTGGCACTGGCAAATGAAAAACCAAGCAGACAATAATGCCACTGACTAAATCAAGATGCTGTATCTTGCCATCTCAGGCTGGAAAGCGAGTAACCTTCAAGGTGAGGTAGCAAAACAGTTGGTTAGACTTCCCACAATTTTCTCTTGGGTCTCAGACCATGCCTCTACCCATGCTGGAGTTCTGTGCCAACATGCTGAGCTACTGTGGCTCCTTCTTGGGACCCTCACTGCAGTTCCCCAATAAAGACATTTTAGGCTTCACTGAGTCAAGGCCAGGCTTCCTAAAAGCAGAAAGGGGACAGCACGGCACTTCTTAAAGTGAAGCCACTCGATTTACAGCCAGGGATCCAATAGGCAAGAGTCCATCTGTTGCCACTTACTAAATTTAGCGCAAACATGGGCGAGGAGGCAGAAAATTCATCCCTGGGGGAAATACTTGGAGGAACAGAGAAAGGGAACAAGGCTAAGAGTGGAGGTCATTATCTACTACACCCTGCAAAAAGGTGTATTCTCCCTGTTACATCACATTCTCCTTGTTACAAAGGAGGGAATCACAGTGATGCAACCTGCAGGCAGAGTCCAGAGCTGCTGGACCCTAGTCTCCCTAACTCCTTGTTTAATGATGTCAAGAGGCAGGAACCTACACAGACTTTGCTCACCTGAGGGCTAGGGCAGACAAACTGGGTAAGTAGAGGGGGTTTACCTTCAGGTACCCTGAGCCAAGTTTCTGGGTGTTAGGTATGAGCTGGGGGTCCAAGCAATCTACAAGGGGTATGACTGCCAGAAAAAACTCCAAGCCTGTCAAACGGGATGTATAATTATTCAAACCTACAGCAATTTCCAGCAGGCCATCCCTGACAGGTGGACCCAGGCTGGTAAAGCAGGATAGACTCCAGCAGGGGTATCTTGCCATGTTCTTCTCACATCTTGCCCATATCCATCCTCCCAGAGAACCTCCCAGAAAATGCCAGCCAGGTTTATCAGAGAACACCATTCACCATCAGGATAATGAGTGTTACAGGTAGTTAAACTCACAACCTGGCTCATGGATTGTGAGACCAAGGTAAGCCACATCCAGATGTAATCAGAATAGTACACACAATACACAGAAATCCTAGATACAATGTTACCAGATGTAATCTGGGGAGAGAAGTTTTTGAAAAAATTTTCAGTTGTGGGTGAGATCTTTGCATTACATTAGGCAGAAGCACTTCTGAATCTGAATACACACGCTTGTACTGAGCTACGGTGGAACTGTGGATACTTATTGTTTCCTGTCTTCATATCTCTCTTTATTTGGAAAACCATTCCTACCCCACTCCAATCATATACTTTTGCTGGAGCCATCAATCATAATACCTTGCCTGCCCTGGCCACAGGGGTGGGAACAATATGTCCAATAGGCCACTCAAATTCCTTCCTCAAGGACTTTTGATTTGGAGCAGAAGTAGGGGCCTTGCCTTTGGGTCACAGACCATGGAAACTTATGAATACAAACCGCTGAGGCCATCTTCCCTGCCACTTGGGAAAAGCCTGTCTGTATTAGGAGAGAACGAGGTTAACACACAAACATATGCAGATCCAAAAAGTTGAGACAGAAAGAGGAAAATGGAAAGAGTTTTGATACCTGGGGGTCCAGTTATGCCTGATGATGGCCTGGACTTCCCAATTACATGAGCTAATTAAATTCCCTTTTCACTTAAGCTAGTTTAAGCTGGTTTAGTCACTTGCAATTGAGAAGGTTCTCATTAAAACAAATTTCCATCTCATACACAAAGTTACATACCAGCAGGATTAAAGACAAAGTTATAAAGTATTAGGTGAAATTACTGTAAAATATATGTATATTCTTGGGATAGAGATGGTCTTCCTTACTTAGTAAGACACAAAATCCAGAGAAATCCTAAAGAAAAAGATAGATTTAAATGCATAAAAAAATGTAAAAACTTTCTGTACAAAACAAGCAATGCCTATTTAAGTATAGAGATAAAATAAAAAATTAATACCCAAAATACATAAAGCGTTCCTAAAACTCATTAGGGAATATCAAAAGTCAAGAGGAAAAACTGAGCAAAAGACATGAATAAGCAATTCACAGAAAGTTCAGCAAACACATGAAAAGAAATTCAACCACATTAGTAAGCAGGGGTATGCAAATTTTTTCATGAAATGCCACTGGCCAAAATGTAAAAGGTGAAAATGTGAAGAAATACATATATATGTAAATTATTAGTATAAATTTCTTTTAATGTACAATTAAGTAATAGCCATCACTATTTTTAAAATGTACCTACCATATGATCCAGCAATTCCACTTACTGTATCTATACTGCCAGAAATACTTACATAAGTAAACAAAGATATATGTTGAGGATGTTAAAAAGCACCACTAATTGTAATAAGGAAAAAACTGTTAACAGCCTAAATGTCCATTAATAGAGAAACAGTAAATGAATTATGGTTCATCTAAACTGTGGCATATCATGCAGCAGTTAAAAAGAATAAATTCAATTTATTACATGAAAAGTACTCCTACATGAATTACTGAGTGAAAAAAGCAAGATGCAGACAACACGTGCAGAATGATCCCATTTATATATTAAAAAAAAATTTTTTGTAAGCATAAATACATTAATGTAACTACACGGAGAAAGATACAATACCAATTAATGCTGGTTACCTTTGGGGGGGGGTGTGAAAGAGATGCAATTTTTCCTATGTGCTTGTTCTTTTTAAAACAAAAACACTGAGTGCAAGTGTTACTTATGCTTTAAAAAAAAAAGAAAGAAAAAGAAAAGCCAAATCTTCCCACCCCCATCAAACTTGTATTATAAAAAATTAAAAATTAAAAAAAAAAAGTTCCTTTCGTGGTATGAAGTGTAGCCTTACCTATCTCTTCTTGAATAGAGACAGGTGTATGGGATTCTCTTTCTCCGTTTTCAGGGTCATCAGCTGCCTTAGCAGATTCACTCTGGGCAGAGTTTAGCTCACTGCTGCCGTTACTGTGCTCCAGATCAGGCTGGATGGAGGCAGTGGTAGCACTAGTCTTACTGCTGTCACATGTCTTGCTAGGTTCTTCTAGAAAAATAGAATATCTGATTTTTAAATTGGAAATCACATCAAAAATAACTAATTGTCAGAAAAGACATTTAATTGTTTTAGGGTTGCATTACAAAGCCAGATTTTAAAAAGAAAAAGCTGCTCATGTATGAATAATGCAATGTATGAAAAGAAATTTGTAAATAACACCCTGTGAACTGTCTTTTAAGTCTCTTAGCATTAACTCAATATACAGCACAAAGCAGACCATCTGTCAGAGTCAAGTGATATAACTATCTCACAGAATCTATGATGTTATGATGTGCCAGATACTGCAGAAGTAACTTAGTGGAGAAAATCCCTCAAAATCAGAAATTTATATTCTTACTTCTCAAAAAGTCTTCAAACAGTATTCTAAATGGAGTTAAACAGGATTACTTATCTCTAAGGTTGTCCTGCCTGAATTCTATACCCCCAAATTTAACTACAAGGTAATGCTTAAGTGATTGTTAATTTTAAGAATATAACAGTATCAATAAGAGTATAATTGCTGAAAGACCAAAATGAACACCACCATGAACTGAAAGCCTACGTGTCTTTCCTCGGTAGTTCAAAAATCTAGAGCCTCTTTGTGTTATTTCCTTTTGCTGCTATTAAGGTAGCCTTTATATCAATTACCTCAATTAAAAGTGACTGACAGTATATCACAAAGACTATCTGTAATGTATTGTGAGTTCCTGAATTTTGTTTTGAAGGAAAAAACCAACAACCTGATAGAAAAATGGGGAAAATATATGAACAGTGACAAAAGAAATGAAAATGGCCTTTAAACATGGAAATAGGCTCACTTATTTAAAACTAAAAGAAATGCAAAATAAAACTATATGGAGAAACTACCTCCCAGCTACCAGATGCGCCAAAAAGCCAAGTCTCATGATGCACTCAGGTAGAAACTGCCACACACTGCTGCGGGAGTGGCAAAAGGGTGCCACGTGGGTAACAGGGAACTGACAATACCTAGAAAGATTGCAGCTGCAACTACTCTTGACCGAGCACTCCCATGTCTATAATCTATCCCAAAATTCACTGGCAGAAATACTACACTGCTCACTTGCAGAGGTATTCACGGTAGCACTATGATGGCAAAAGACCAGAAGAAGAAAATGCCCCAAAACACGGCACTGGCTGAATAGAAGATGGAACATGCAGTAAAATATCATGTACCATAACAAGGACTGAGGGGATCATTATATCCACATACAAACTGATCTCAAGATTAAATGTAAAAAGAAACAGAAGAGCACTTAAGAGTATGCCAACATTATGTAAGAAAAGGAGAGAAATAAGAATTTGTGGATATATTTTGTCTTTATATACAAAAATAAAAACACTAACGAAAAGTTAATAAAAATGGCTACCTATAGGGGAAAGGAAGGATATGGTTACCTAGAGAGGGAAGGGATGAAAGTGAAAAATTCTCTGAATAGATACAGTTACACACAGCTGGACTTTGGAATCATGTAAATGTTTTGTATTTAGTTAGAAATGCAACCCCTAAAAAGTGAAAACCAATGGAAACAAAAAAAAATTGTGCATCAAGTTGCTGGCATAACCGCACAGAGAAAAAATTTATTTCAAGTGACTTTGGAACACAATTTTCATTATACAGTCTTACTGGAAATACAGTACAAAGATGAAAAGCTGAAAAAAAACCTTAAATGCCATTAGGTAATCTTACTGTGAGCAATAACATTGGTATTATGAAATTCTATGCTGTTTAAAACATTTTTTTTTGTATTACTGTTATTAATGCATATCAGTATATTAATAATTATAAGTAATAGTAATATATAATTAACATCTGTATCAGGATAAAGCAAATATATAATTAAGCTACTGTTGTTAGGAACTAAGCCATTCAGTATAAAGAAAAAGAGATACAAGTGTTTAAGAAAAAAGAAAAAAACTATGTAATCCTCAATCTGAATTTGAAATGTCAATGGTGAATTGATCTTTTTCTTTTCTGAAATATGTATTTCCTAACACTACCCACCAAACAATCCTACAGTGTACTTCATAAAAGAATAGGCAATCAATCCTATCCCCAGGTATTTTGATCCTGAAAAGACTGAGCTCAGAATCTATCCCTTTAAACTTTCAAGGTGCCAATGAGCTGAGGACTCCTGTAACTCATAACACACAGCGTTTTTGTTAACTTGTCCCAAGTTAATTTGCCTTAAGTTCTCCTCCATTTCAGTTTAGAATTCTGACTTTATTTTTTAATTGTTCTAGAACTCTTGACCTCTTTACCTCATTAGGCTATAAGATTAAAGAAATCTCAAGCATTTGCTTTAAAACACCACAAAGAAGGTTTATTACCTACCAATAGTCCTCACAGTTCAACTAGACTAGAAACTAAAACCAAAACATATTCAAAAAAATAAGAAACAAAAGAGTAACATTTTGCTGCAGAAACCTCCAAAAGCTATTATTAATCAACTCAATGAGGTAAACTGGTAATAGATCAGTTCAGCATCCAGTACCAGCAGCCTCCAATCCACTAGTTTCCTGATAATAAAATTGAAACCTAAAGCAAAGTACTATCTTTATCCCCAAAGTTAAAAGAAACAAATTAAATAAATATGTTCTTATAGTTCAACTTTACAGATGTTAGAGTTTCAATATGTCTATGGAAACATTTTCAAAGCAATTATAAATAGTTATGGATATAAAGCCAATTTTATCTGTTGCTACTATTTTCTTAGTCCCAAGCATTAAACCTGGAGGTATAACTTAAATAAAAACAAATGCGGTCTGCATTATAGGTTTGAATACAAATTCTCTGTAGTACATTTGAGGTTAAGATGCTAGAAAGACATGCCCCTCTCTTCTCTTATAAACTGAAAAAATTGACATTCTGGTAAAAAAATTTCTAATCTAAAATCCAGAACAAAAGTATAATTCTGAAATGGAGCTTTTTGTTAACTACACAGGAGTGACACTGAATAATAAACAGTATACTTGCTGTAATGCATCATTTTTGGCAACATAACCATTTTCATGAGCTGAAGTAAAATGTCTGGAGTAGAGATGCGGGGGGGCGGGGCGGGGCAGGGATCTGAGGATAGATATTCAGAGATTAACTTTTCAAAGTGAGGTCTACGAACCTCTCAAAATACAACCTAAAACTCAGTTTAAACTTCAGTCTCAGCTACATAAAATCTTTCTAATCACTGATCATACCCAACATGAAATCTGTCCATTTTTCTGTTTTCATTCCTTTAGATTTTTATATCACAGATTTGTAATTCTTCCTCTGCATAATGTCAGCTAGCGTAAGACAATGACAGTGCTGTCTGACAAGACTTGACAAAATACAACTTGAAATAAATAAATATACATATGCATATATGTTGGAGAAGGAAATGGCAACCCACTCCAGTACTATTGTCTGGAAAACCCCATGGACGGAGGAGCCTGATAAGACTACAGTCCATGGGGTTGCAAGAGTCGGACATGAATGAGCGACTTCACTTTCATGCATATATGTATATGTTTATGTGTGTGTATATATATATTTCCAAAGAAATTCTAAAATAGCTGTATTTAAAAATAGATTTTAAATTCTAGAAAAGATATCCAACATAAATGCTAATCAAAAGAAAGCGACTGTAGTTTAGTAACATTATTAACAATGAAGAGTATTTCACAAAGATAAAGTTAATTCAACAATAAAAATTATGTGCACCTAATAACACAAGCTCAAACTATATAATGCAAAACTAAAAACATGTGAAAGACAAAAAGGCAACACATTAAAAAAAGTAACTTAAAAGTATCTTGCAGAGAGGGGGGAAAAATAGCAAAAATATAGATTTGAACACCACAATTAAAAACCCTGACCTAACTGTTCTATATTGTACCCCGAAACTAAAAATATATGTCTCAAGTGTATATTGGAGGAGGAAATGGCAACCCACTCCAGCATTCTTGCCTGGAGAATTCCGTGGACAGAGGAGCCTGGTGGGCTATAGTCCAGGGTGTTACAGAGAGTTGGACACGACTGAGTGACTAACACTTTCTTTCAAGTGTATATGAGATAGTTTATCAATATTAATCAAATGCTGGGACCACAAAACAAGCCTCAACAAATCTTAAAGGACATAAATCATGCACAGAATGTTCTCTGACTCCAGTTTGTCAAACCAGAAATCAACAACAAAAATATAACTAGCAAATCTATAAATGTTTGGGTGCTAAACAATGTATTTCTAAATAAGCAATGGGTTAAAAAATATATAACAGAAATCAGAAAGCATTTTAAACTGAATGATAAAGACAAAATAACATTTTAAAGTTAGTGAGATGCAGCTACAGCAGTATACAGAGGGAAATGTACAGCCTTGATGACAGCCATAGCAAAAAATAAAAACTAAAAGTTACAAAAGCATCCATTAAGCAAGAAGAAAAAAATTCAATAAAGAGTGTATGAGAAACCTCTGGAGGTGACAGATGTTTATGCCACAGATTACAGTGATGGTTTCATGGGTACATCTTTATCTCCAAACTCATCAAGTTGTATACATTAAATATGTACAGCTTGATTGTACATTGTACAATTGTACAATTTGTATCAATTGTACAATTGATACAATTGAGTTGTATCAATTACAACTCAACAGAGTGGTTAAGGGGGAAAAAAGGCAGGGAGGAATAACTCACAAGAATGAAAAGAAATTAAAAGGAATCCCAAAGTTTTTTTTTTTTAAAGACTCATAAAAATTATTAATAGTCTCATGAAATGATTAACCAATTTATGGATTGAATAAAGGGAACATCACTACAGACGCTATAGACGTTTAAAAAGTTATATCATTAAAATTTAAATGAAATGGTATATTCTTAGAAAAATAAAACTTAAGAAAATTGACACAAGAAATCAACAGAAAACATGAATACTTCACTATCTGCCAAGAAAATGAAATCTACAATAACTTTCCCACAATGAAAACTCCAGGACCAAAAGACTTCAGCAAACATTTAAGGAATAAACAACACCCACCCACAGAAACTCTTGCAGACAAAAGGAAAAGTGGGAACTTGTAAAATAAAAACTTATTTTATACAGCCAATGTAATCTAGGCATCAAATCCTGACATAGACATTATCAGAGAAGGAGAACTACAAGTCAATTTCATTCATAAAAGCTGATGGAAAAATTCTAAGCAAAATATTAAAAATGGAATGCAACAATATTTAAGAATAAAACTATGTCACAACAAAGTTGTATTTATTTCAGGAATATGAGATTGTGTTAACATTATTTAAAAAATCAATGTAGAAACTTTTGCTTCCAGTCAGGATAGAGAAGCGGGACTGAACCTAGCCCAGTCTATGCAACAACCACAGACAAAAAAAAGAAACCACTTAATAAAAAATGAACAAAAGAACTGACAGGCACTTTGAAACAGAAGGTATCCAAATCACACACACACACTGAAGCATGTGTGTGCACAGTCACACGCACATGCACACACACACACTAAAGGTGTTCAACATCCTTAGTCACCAGGGAACTGCAAGTTCAAATCACAATAAGCTATCCCTACATTCCTACTAAAAGGACTAAAAAAAAAAAAAAACTCTTTCAGGACTTCCATCACAGTACTACCTACAATCACTGGCCTTCCATAGGATCACCAGTATTTTCTTATTTTGCTTATCTAATTTTCTAATTTGCCTTCTTAAAAAAATACATAAAGCTCCTATGATAAAATTTTTTCTTTTTTAAAAAAGGCAAAAGGAAAGGCATAACAACAGTCTTGATGTAATATAACTTACTCTGAGTATTAATTTTAATAAGCTTAAAATATTACTGGTTGACTTACATTTTCATATCAAAATACATGACAATGGTTTTCTATTATAATATTATGGTTTGAAATGTTGTTAAAAAGAAACTTACATGACCACATGCAAACATAAAATTAATTTGTTAGTACATACAGAACTGGAATGGTCAAATCATTCAACACTGAGCCATTAGCATGTGAGTACTTAAAACCAAAATATCTGCCACTATGGTCTGGTGATAAAATATACAAATAAGTCTATTAAACAAAAACAGCTAAATGAACTTTAAAAAAGCATGAAGATTATGATGAGTTTCAAGCACTAAACGCACGAACATTTGTCAAACTCCAAATGTTAGGTGACAATTTAGCGGTCGGGGATGGCACTGATGCAAGCAAGCAGCATGAATGAAGACACACTTTAAGGGTTTAGGTGACACTCAGCTTTCACTACTCAAGGGAAGGACTTCCCCCCATTACAGAGGCATTGATACACTGCCCTCTGTACCTGGCACGTCCTGGGGGAGCTCAGATGCCACCTTCTTCTCTGCCATGTTGCTGCTATCGTGGGTTTCTGAGACACACCCCATGGGACTCCTCCCTTCAGAGGGAACAGTCTCTTCGGAAGAAGCATTTGTTGTGTTGTCGCCAAGATTTGCTGACACAGAGTTACCTTTATCCCCAACTTCTGTTGGCTCTACAGTAAAATGCACAACAAAACTTTAACGATACCCTTTAAAATTGCTCTAGGACAAATGGCCACATTCAGTCATCTACTGAAAATGAATGAGCACCAAAAAACCTGGCTTCTATTCGATGGCCATTTAGAAGCAATTAGATTCTGGGATATTTTTGCAGCAGGTAATCCAAAGGGTATTTAAGAATATTTGGCATTATTAAGAATGTTTAAGTAGTCAACATAAAAATGAACATATTTTATCACACCCAAAAGTGTATATTCTGACAGAAAAACAGTGATTTTTCACCAACAAATCTCATAGGGAAATGGTACCTTATTAAGAAGTATAGAGATATGGATATAAAATCATAGTAAATCCACCAATAGATAAAACTCATTACAATGATTATACATGTTATAAGGAGGAAGGATATACTAATCTCTTTAGAAATTTAAAATTAAATAGTTGTTTGTAATAAAAAAAAAAACAACCTTATCTTCATTTTGCAAGTAAAATTGAAGATGTCCTAAATAATACTGATGAAATATTTCTTTTTAACCAAGTAATGTTTTTACCCTCAGATTTTCCTTGCTCGGGATCGACGTCATCTGGTGGTTTGTCATCACTGTCTTTTTCAACAATCTGGTCTTCAAACTCCTCTCTGCTTTTCTCAGCATCTTTGGAGTTACTATTTTCAGTCTCATTCTTGTCCTTGTCTATTTCTTCTGGGCTTTTAACAATATCAATGTCTCCCTTTTTGGCTCTTATGGATTCCAAAATTTCTTCTATAATAAAAGAAATGAAAAATTGTGTTTCCATATTACCAAGCATAAGGTACTACAAGTGTCACTTAAGAGTTTCAATACAAGCTATTAAAACATTAATTTGTTAAATGCACTAAGAACTCTGAAATAAGGATCAAGATTACCAGTAACATTTTGATGCTTAAGAGAACTTGATCAATTTGGTTATCTTCACATCTAGAAAATACATGCTCTAGGCTCTAATTTCTTTTTTAAAAAAGAAAAGAAAATTAGTCTTTTAAAATTGAGATTGCTATAGATTACTGTAACATCCTCTGCCATATAAGAAAAACTGTAAGCTGACACAGACCCACAGTCTGGGCAGTGTGGAACAGTGACAAAAGCCTAGAGACCCATGACCTAGTACAGGTCTGACTTAACTGCATGAGTCTGGGCAGGCTACTTAACCTTCAGTCCTCCAGTGTAAACCAGGAAAACAAAGGCCCATTAAACATTTCTATCTGAAGTCCCATAGCTTTCTGAAAGTCACTAAAGCCTAACGGTTCTAATTTCCTTTCAACCTGGGTGCAGTGAGGCCACGACACAGGTGCAGACCACAAGGTATAGCAACACAGATCCCTGGATATGATTTTTTTTTTTTTGATGCTAATATTCTTTACATCGTGATACAATACTATCATTTTTTACTTTGTTGCTCAAACTGGTCCAGCTTTTGGCCACTGGAAGCTTTTCCAGGGGAGTCCTGTATCCTTTCAATACATTTCCCCTCCCTCCTTTCTTACTTTCCAACACTACAAGACGCTTCAGATTCACCTTGGGTTTTCTCTGCCCTAACCCTAGACTATACCACCTCTCAAGGAATCTTGACTCTTTTTTTTTTAAACTGGAGAATAAGATTTAGAAGTTGTGATCTAGGCACCATGTGTCCTTCTTACTAGTGGGATGTCACTGCTTCTCTTACCACCCACAGACCCAGGGAATGTATACACGTATACTAACCCATGTATATATACATCTTTATTATTTCTGTATCTATGTGTGTGTGTGTAGTGGGGAGTACGTGTGTGGTTCATTCAAACATGGCTCTGTTGTTTTTTTGTAAGTTTACTCTCTGACAGAAGTTGCTTTCATTACAACACGTCAATTTATTTGGTTAACCCTATTATTCACAGTAAACCAGTTTCAGAATTGCTAAACTGTACTCCTATGAGAAATAATGTTTGTGAACAAGAAGAAATATCTTTAACGACAATGCCATGCACCCATGAACCCACTCTTATGGGATTTTTTAATTTCCTTGTTTACACTTCCTTTCTTTAAATGTTCTGTACTTTCATTTTCATCAGTGTTTCCTAAATTGTAGGTTTCCTAGGATTAAAAAACCTTGTAAAGTCATCACTGAAAAACATTGACCTCTCTGCTTAGAAGATTATTTTTGAGATGGCTGGAGTTAATTCCCTACTCTTTCTCTCTCTCACGTTCTCTACTCCTAAATCCTGTAAGAATTCTAAGTCAGTGATTATAGAAACATCTAAGTCAGCTATAGGACAATTTCAAACAGAAGGAATTCTAATACGTATATTTTCTGCCTTTACCATCACCCCAGGATCCTTTTTTTACATCACTTCCTTGTATCCTTTTACCTATCTATACATCTACACTGCTTTCAGTTCCTATTTACCCTAACTGCATTTACTCTTGCTACATACACTAAATCTATCAATGGAAGTATCTCAATCACTGTAAAAAGAACTTTTTATTTGGAAAAAGAAAATTTATTCACCAATTACCTGCTTTTCTTAGAGCCATATTATTTCTTACTTTCAAATACAGCTCCATCCTGATCAAACTGTTACACATTCAACCAACTTCCCTCCAACCACATAATGAGGATAGAGTTAAAAAAAACAACAACAACAACTATAAATTAGATCACCTAAATTAGGTAGAAAGCACAGGTATGACCTGTGGTCATACAGGATGACCAAAGGTCTCTGATTTTCTATAAAGGTTCTAATTTTAAATAGTCTATTCTGTTATCTACTCTATCAAGTATACAAATAATTATCAGTCTATATGTCTATATTTTCAGCTCAAGACCTACATTACTCATAGCCTTAAGAGAAACAGACCAAAAAAGTGAGGAGGGTAAAAAAAAAACATTAAGGGGGTGACAGAAGAAATAATTGGTCTAGGTTGTATCTGATCGGTAATAAATATGCATCTTCTATAAACACGTATAGTAGTCTATACTTTGCAGGAATATTTCAAAATTAAATAGAATTAACCTTCCAAATATTAAAAATCATCTCCTCTCAGAAAAAAATTTATTCCAAAAATAAACTTCTTTCAAACAAGCAGAATAAAACATTACAAAACACAAAGGGTATATGATAAAACAAACTATTTACAGTTACAAATATATAATAAATTTTAGAATCCAGATGGTAGGCTTATGGGTATTTACTGGATAATTCATTTAACTTTCTGTATATTTGACAATTTCAAAAAATATTAGAAAAAAAAACAGAAAAAATATTCAGGAAAAAAAAAAACCCACCAAAAAACTGAATTAAACTCTCCTAAAGTGGACATATATATATATAACAACCAGAGAGCTGAAAATGTGAAAGGATTTATGCTCTATTTGTGAGGTTAAAAAAGAGAAGTCATATGGATAAGCTGGGATTCTGAGATCATTGATAAGATACTCTAAATTATTCTTGGCTATTTCAGGAGCCCAGTAATCTGTTTTTTAATCTCATAAAACCCCCAATTAAAGACCACCACTAGATATTATTTTGGGTATTTACCTGGACTGGATGCTCCTAAACTATCATAGCCAAGATTTTGGTTCCCAGAGAGAGCAAATAAAGATAATGGTGGCAGACCGGTGTTTTACTAGGAAATTCTTCTATCTGAATGTTTAATTCATTGCCAATACATTCCTTAGAAAGTTGCTGAGAGGATTAAAGGCTTGTATAACATCTAGATGAACACCTGGCCCACAGTAGGTACTCAAAAATGTTAGTTTCCCCTTCTCTTCCCCATCAATTTTCAATTCTTGTGAATCCCTCCACCTTTAGTACCAGGTTGGTTGTACCTTAGCAAAAAAAAGGGGAAGGGGGGAGAAAAAAAGAGAAGAAAAATGTCACTTGTTGTCTAGATCTCACCATTAAATTCAAGGTGCACTTTACCTTATTTAAATTAACTTCAGTTGTACCAAGAGGGTAGCCATCCACAAGCTTTGGCCATATATCTCTAAGAATATATTGTGCCCTAATGCTCAAAGCTCTATCTCTAATTATTACAAAAGATTTAACTAATTTTTAAAAGTACATCACAAGCTGAATTACATGAAATATAACATGCTTATTGTAGGGAATTTGAAAAATATAAAATAGAAATATACCCTACTATAATTCTACTATGCTAATTAGTTATTTTTTAGTGATAAAAGCTGATTATGCACCCAGTTGATTATTCACAGGAAGAGAATTTAAGTATCTCAATGACCCAGGTACTGTTTTGGCATGGTACCTTATGTATTCTCCAATGTATAGTATTTCATCACATGGTAATTCAAATGAAATTAACCAATTCCTCCACAAATTCACTTTCAGTTTTACATTCCCCCCAATCAGACCACTAAACATCTTGATTATCCATTCCTATACTGGCTTTGTTCTTTACTTAAGATGATGAAGTGTTAGTCGCTCAGTCGTGTCTGACTCTTTGTGACCCCATGGCCTGTAGCTGCCAGGCTCCTCTGTCCATGGACTTCTCCAGGCAAGAAGACTTGAGTGGGTAGCCTCTCCCTTCTCCAGGGGATTCTTCCCCACCTAGGGATTGAACCTGGGTCTCCTGCACTGCAGGAGTATTCTTCACCAACTGAGCCACCAGGGAAGCCCATGATTAAGATGATATATATATCATATATATATATATATACTATATATATAATTTTGTACACAGACGGGTTCACTCTAGAAAATATTTCTAATTCAACACCTGATAAAAACACATTCCACATTGCTTTTTGGGGATAGCATGGCTCATTATTACTATACTAAAAGCTGAGACTGCAAGAGAGTAAAAAGGGATTTGTCAATTGCAATGCTGGGATCCATAAAAGGAAATTAAGAGAGGAAGTAATCCTCTTAACTATATTAGTACAATTATCAACCTCCCCAAAGAATTCTGATGAGTAAAGCTTATCTGCTGGAAAAAATACACATTAAAAAAAACAGATCTAATGAAAAAAGATACTTCCAACTAGCAGATATGAATAAATGTAACTCTCGTTAACTAAACGTACTAGATTTTGAAGACGTACAGGGAAGCCCCTGTACTATTTACTTTTTTAAAATGTCATATACGGACCTCCCTGCTGGCCCAGTGGTTAAGACTCTGAGCTCCCAATGCAGAGGGCCCAGGTTTGATCCCTGGTCAGGGAACTAGATCCCACATGCTGCAACTAAGACCTGGTGCAGCCAAATAAATGAATTAAAAAAATTTAAAAATGTCATATACATTCATTATTTGTTACAAAGCAGGGAATAAAAAGAAAAACACTGAGCAACAAAATAAATAAGGTAGTAATTAAAATATAACCCAAAGTGTAAAATATATATCCATGAGTCCGTCCTAATATACATGACTGAATAAATAAAGAAGAACAGACAATCTGTGCAGGAATCCAAATCATGTGTGTAGATCAATGCTCCCTCAAGGATATGGACTGTGACTTCCCATGGCCTAAGTGTGGGCTGTGCACAGTGACTCTCTCCCCAAAACCACAGCATGGGTGGGAGGAGGAATTTTACAATAGAGAAACCAGACAAACACTGCCTCAATCAGATGACCCAAGTTAACATCATCGGTGATGAATCATGCTGGTGGCAGGTACTCTGGACAAGATGACGAGGAAGGCACTTCACCTCTGTGGTCTTCCTCCCCAAAACACACGACACAAGGCTAACTCTGAGAAGAACATGAGACAAATCCACGTTGAGGGCATTCTTTTAAGTCCCTGGCCAGCAATCCTCAAAATCTGTCAAGGTCATCAATAATATGTCAAGTCTGAAAACCTGTGACATCCTAGAGAGACAGGATGACTAAATATAGTGGGGTGTCCCGGAAGGGATCATGAGACAGAAAAAGGACATTAGAAAAGAACTGAGGAAATCTGAATAAAGTATAGATATGTTATTAAATATATCAACACTGGTTCATTAGTGATGACAAACACACCACACTAATGTGAAAGTCGTTCAATTGTGTCTGACTCTTTGCAACCCCATGGACCATCCAGTCCATGGAATTCTCCAGGCCAGAATACTGGAGTGGGGAGCCTTTCCCTTCTCCAGGGGATCTTCCCAACCCAGGGATCGAACCCAGGTCTCCTGCATTACAGGCAGATTCTTTACCAGCTGAGCCAGGATGTAAGACGCTGTAAGGGAAGCCTGCCGCAGGGTATGCGAAAAACCCTCCGTGCTATCTTAGCAACTTTTCTGTAATTCTAAAATTATTCTAAAATTGAAAGTTAAAAAAAAAAAAAGAAGGCAAAGAGTAAATTTTAAAGGAACACCATTTCTCATAATTAAAAACAGGACTCCCTAAAAGGTTTATTAATAAAATTCATGAATTAAAAAACAGTCATACTTGAAAAGTTTAATACATTTTCAAATTCTGTACTGATTTCACACCAAGAGTTTATCTCAAAAAGTAAAATCTAACAAAAAGTAAAATGAGAAGAATTTACCACTCACCATTAGCTGCCGCCAGAAAGGATTTGTTACTGCCCCGAGCTTTATTGGTCAGGTCTTCAGTTATGTCCATGTGCCGGTGGATTTCTTCACGCATTTCTTCTAGAATTTTGCAGAGTTCTGCCTCCCAGTAATCTTTGTCTAGACAGTCAATTAATTCTGCAAGTTGGACCTTTGTGCTGTAGTACCAAATTTTCTTTTCATTTTCATTTTCTGTATCTTCTTCTCTGTTTAAGAAAAAGAAAGCACAAAAACACTTTGTATGTTAGACATAATGGCACTTGTCTGACAATTTTATCTATCCAGTGAAAGTTAAAATACGTAACACAAAGACTGCACACTAAAGTTCAATATATTAACACTTATTCATAAGAGATCAAGTTTCATTCAAATTCAAGGTACTCATTTTACTTGAACTTCTAATTATTTTTATTTCCTAGCCCAACACAGACAGCATATTAAAAAGCAGAGACATTACTTTGCCAACAAAGGTCCTTTGCCAACAAAGGTCCATCTAGTCAAAGCTATGGCTTTTCCAGTAGTCATGTATGGATGTAAGAGTTGGACTATAAAGAAAGCTGAGCGCCGAAGAATTGATGCTTTTGAACTGTGATGTTGGAGAACTCTCTTGAGAGTCCCTTGGACTGCAAGGAGATCCAACCAGTCCATCCTAAAGGAAATCAGTCCTGAATATTCATTGGAACGAATGATGCTGAAGCTGAAACTTCAATACTTTGGCCACCTCATGTGAAGAACGGACTCATTGGAAAAGACCCTGATGCTGGGAAAGACTGAAGGCAGGAGGAGAAGGGGAGGAGAAGGGTATGACAAAGGATGACATGGCTGGATGGCATCACCGACTCAATGGACATGAGTCTGAGTAAACTCCGGGAGTTGGTGATGGACAGGGAGGCCTGGCATGCCGCACTCCATGGAGTCACAAAGAGTAGGACACGACTGAGCAACTGAACTGAACTGAACCTAGCCCACAATAGCTTAGGATAAAATATAGTAATTGTAGATAAATGTAGCTTGTAGTAGTGGGAAGAGAAGAATTAGTACAGCAACGAAGAAAGATTTCTAAAAACATGACACTCAGAAATAGGACCTTAAAACTCAGAGTGCGTGAGTACTTGGTGGAGGATGGTCTTGGTGACACTTCAATCAACATTAAGATCATCACTGTACTCTCAGATCATCCCACCCTCGCCTTCTCCCATAGAGTCCAAAAGTCTGTTCTGTATTCTGTACATCTGTGTCTTTTTTTCTGTCTTGCATATAGGGTTATCGTTACCATCTTTCTAAATTCCATATATATGCGTTAGTATACTGTATTGGTGTTTATGTTTCTGGCTTACTTCACTCTGTATAATGGGCTCCATCATATTATCAAGTGTGAAACAGATCGCCAGTCCAGGTTGGATGCATGAGACAAATGCTCGGGGCTGGTGCACTAGGGACGACCCAGAGGGATGGGATTGGGAGGGAGGTGGGAGGGGGGTTCGGGATGGGGAACACATGTAAATCCATGGCTGATTCATGTCAATGTATGGCAAAAAACACCACAATACTGTAAAGTAATTAGCCTCCAACTAATAAAAATAAATGAAAAAAAAAAAAAAAGATCATCGCTGTAACAATACCATGCACAGAACTTTAACCAGAAATATTTAAACTCTGTTCCGTACCTAACAGGTACTGTAGTTTAGAAACATTTCCACCAAAATGGTGGAAATGCTTTGTTAAATTCTGGTCCTTGAAGAAATCATCTCAATTGAGTGACATCTCATCACTCTTCTTGCCTGTGGACAATCAAAGCTCAAACTGGAAAAGAGCAGAGCAGCTTCCTGTCCTGCTTAAATCTCTCTGAAGATGCCATTCACTTGTAATGGAGGTGGACACTTGTACATGAATAGTCACTGACTAAAAACATAAGGCAAATTAATGTCCAGCGCCAGACTTTAAGAAACACATGTGATGGTAGTTCTTCTCTCATTCAAAAAAACTCAGGATTCCATAGGCATGCATTAATATACAGTATCTGTCTTTCTCTTTCTGACTTACTTCACTTTGCATAATAGGCTCTAGGTTCATCCACCTCGTTAGGACTGACTCAAATGTGTTCCTTTTTTATAGCTGAGCAATATTCCATTGTACATATGTACCACAATTTCTGTATCCGTTCACTGAGGGTGGGACGAATTGAGAGAATAGCATGGAAACACATAAATACCATATGCAAAACAGACAGCAAGTGGGAATTTGCTGTCACACAGGGAGCTCAACTCAGTGCTCTGCGACAACCTAGAGAGGTGGGGTGGAGAGGGAGATGGGAGGGGGGCTCAGGAGGGAGAGGACACATGTACACTTGTGGCTGATTCATGCTGATGTACGCAGAAACCAACACAATATTGTAAAGCAATCATGCTTCAATTAAAAAAATTTTTTTTTTTAAATCAGGAATATTTGTGAAGTAGCTGACAAGAACAAGTCTAACTTTCCTGCTTGCTCAAAGGCAAACTCATGGAGCTGAAAGAAGAAGGCTTTAAGAGAGATCCGGCTTTAAATGGGCTCAGTCACTTATGATACGTGAACGTGGACACAACTCTGAGTGTCTGAGCCATTTTACTCACCTCACTGGTACATGGGGATAACAGGACCTATCTTGAGGGTCACTGTGAGATATTATAAAGCAAATAAAGGTATTCTAAGGCATCTTATTAGAGTTAAGTGTTACAGTGCCTGGAAACATCACTGACAAGTGAAAAGCGTTAGTGGCTCAGTCGTGTCCGACTCTTTGCAACCCCATGGACTGTAGACTGCCAGGCTCCTCCGTCCATGGAATTTTCCAGGAAAGAACACTCGAGTGGATTGTCATTTCCTACTTCAGGGGATCTCCCCGACCCAGGAATCAAACCCAAGTCTCTTGTGTCTCCTGCACTGCAGACAGATTCTTTATTGTCAGAGCCATAATGACCAATAAATAGAAAATATTATTGTTACTAGTAAGGTAGTAAATAAATTAAAATGTAGTAGCTCCAGGAATGAGACATTCAATAATTTTGAAGACAGGATATATTAAATCATGGATAAATAAAAGGATATCAAACTTAACAAAAATTTTTAAGAAAAAAGATTTAATAAAGGGTCCCTGTTATCTAGCTTTGCTTTTTCAAATAGGCATATACCGACATATGATCTGTATCTCTGGTAGAGGCTTTTCACAAAAACTTCTGAAAATCATTTTTTTAAGCTGCTCTGCATTTTACCTTACAATAGGTATTTTTACTGACTTCTTATGACTGAGTAAAAACAATGGTCTATTGCAACGTAAAATGCTAAAGATGCCAGAATCCTCTCATCAAAAGATTAACAGGGAATGCCCTTGTGGTCCAGTCATAGGACTCTGCTTCCACTGCCGAGGACCCAGGCCGAATCCCTGGCTGGGGAACTAAGTGCCCACAAGTCATGGGACACAGCCAAAAATAAATAAATAAAAAGCTTTCCAAAGGCAACACTGTAACAAAAACATTTTCAGGTGGCTCAGTGGTAAGAATTCACCTGCCAAAGCAGGAGACACAGAAGACGCAGGTTCAACCCCTGGGTCAGGAAGAGCCTGTGGAGTAGGAAATAGTCACCTGCTCCAGTACGTTTTCCTGGGAAATCCCATGGACAGAGGAGCCCAGCGGATTGCAGTCCATGGGGTTGCAGAGAGTCAGACACGAATGAGTGACTTAGCATGCACACACATCAAATCAGAAAGCACACAGTGAGCTTTGACCAAGCACAAGAGTTACAGGACAACCTAATTCTTTGTTTTCTAAGATATCACTCTTAAGGAGTTTTCCTCTGTTACAAAGATTATCAAATTTTTTTCTTACCTGTTTGTTTTTTTTCTCTATACAGAAATAACTACAAATTTCAATGGAACAAGAAAAATATTCTACATAAAAACATTTTGAGGGCAGAAATACAATTCACAAGTGTAAGATTTCAACACGAAAATGAGATGCTAAGAGAGAAAACTTAATCAAGCAACTCACAAACTCCTGAAAGGGTCCCTATCAGATGACTAAATTAGCCCATGCTGGCATTTGCATAATTTCCATCTTAACAGAGAACACTTCACTTTAATCTTAAGAGAGAATTCATAACTTCATAACAGTGGCAGTCCATTCTAGATTGAAACTGCTCGATTAGAAAGTTTTTTCCCTTTTAAGAGAAGATACACATACCTAGTATTTCCATCAATCCATCCTGCTAGAATTCTCTGAAATGAATCTAACACCTCTTCCACACAGTCCTTCAACTCTTTCACATCTATACTTTTTACCACTTTTTTCTTTTCAGGCCAAACATGCTCAAATACTTTAACCTGCACATTTAGGGGAAGAATATGAGTGTAGTGAAAACTGGAAAAAACAGCAGAGTTTTCACTACACTCATTTTCTTCCCCTAAATGTACAGTTTGTCAATGTCCTGCTAAAAATAGCCCCTTTTTATTCTGCTCATCAAAGATAATACTCAACACTATTTTTTTTTCTTCTTGAGGCTGTAGGAGGATAAATTCATCAAAAGCATGAAGGAGTAAAACTGAGTGAACAATAAAGGCAAATGCTTTCAAAGAAAAGTTGTTTTAATATTGATGTACTTGGGCACATTTACACAATTTAAATAACCAAGATTATTTCTTCTAATTGTAAAGGTACAACAACTTTCCTGTAGGAATATACATCAATTTGTAGGTATATCTGTTTATGGGGTTATAATCTATTATCACTGCAGATGGTGACTGCAGCCATGAAATTAAAAGAAGCTTACTCCTTGGAAGGAAAGTTACGACCAACCTACACAGCATACTTACAAAGCAGAGACATTACTTTGCCAACAAAGGTCCATCTAGTCAAGGCTATAGTTTTTCCAGTAGTCATACATGGATGTGAGAGTTGGACGGTGAAGAAAGCTGAGAGCGAAGAACTGATGCTTTTGAGCTGTGGTGTTGGAGAAGACTTTTGAGAGTCCCTTCGACTGCAAGGAGATCCAACCAGTTCATCCTAAAGGAGATCAGTCCTGGGTGTTCACTGGAAGGACTAATGTTGAAGCTGAAACTCCAATACTTTGGCCAACTCATGCGAAGAGTTGACTCATTGGAAAAGACCCTAATGTTGGCAAGGATTGGGGGCAGGAGGAGAAGGGGACAACAGAGGATGAGATGGCTGGATGGCAT